CAGATGGTGTAGTTTTGCCCGCCAGAGATCTGGATTTACTCGGGGACAACTGGATAGAATTAGATCGAAGACAAGTTCAGATCGAATGGGTAATAGAATTAGATCGAGGACAAGTCCAAGATGATGATAATAGAGCAAGATGATGAAATCGGGGACAAGATCTAGAGATAAGATCTGGATAGAGAATTCTCAATCGGAGACAAGATCTGGAGACAAAAACAAAAGTTAATTGTTTAGTCTCAGGAAATATAATGTTTCTTAGTTAAAGCGCACGTGTTTCGAGAGAAAAGAGATAAATAGGAAGGGAAAATAAATATGGAGGAAAGATAAATAGAGAAAAGAGATAAATAGGGAAGATAAATAGAGAGGGCAAAATGGTAACTCTACATCGAAAGGAAGGGAAGAAATGTGGTAGATTTAAAAAAAAAATAGGAAAAGTGGTAGATTTTGTAGTTTTTCATTTGCTTACTTGTTAATAAAGATATATAGTGTCCGTATCTCGTTATTTTAAAGTTGTTTTGCCTTTTAAAACTATTTGCTTATTAAAGTATGTAATATATGAATATTATTGTCGGCAAACACCGGAGAGCTAGCCCATCATCGCACCAAGTGCTAAAACGCGGTATTCTATGGCCATTAATGGAAGGAATAAACTATAAAATGTACTAAAGTTACATTGGTCGCACGTTAGCCACCACCACATTTCTTCGAATTTGATGATCCATTTCTTGCATACATCCAATCTACAGATCGCTATTCTTCTACTTTGAAACGTTCATAAATTTACGAGTAATCACTTTAAACAAAAATCATTGTACAAGCTATAGTTACTTAGGGTTTATTTGTTTTTGTAATTGACATTGTCCAACGCTCTTGATATAGGATTCTGTACTATTGACTAAATTGAGAAGAAGAAAAAGTAATATAATAATTTTAAGAATCATTGTTTTGGTGGGAGACAGAATTATAAAAGTAACCTATTATTATTGGTCACTCTTAACAAACCATGATATGTTTATATCAAGTTCCAGATATCTAAGTATAGTCTATTAATGAAGATTTATAGTTTTTATACTTAAAACCTAGGGTTCATGGATCCAAGTTGTGTTTCAAACTATAATTAGTCATTAATACATGCAATGCACAAAACACAAAATTATTCTTGATTAAAAAAAAGTAACTAAATATAATCAAAAGCTACTAATTTTCAAAATCTTCAATTGATTTATATTACTTTCTCTCTTTCTTCAGCAACAAGCAGTCTCTCTCAGCTTTATCTTTTTCTTTATATTTCTCTTTCTTATAATTTTGATCTTTTTGATACTAACTCTTAGGGAGAGATCATCTTTAATATATACTTTATGCAGCCTTATTTAGTTATTCAGATTCTTTCTTACAATATTTTAACTGAATTTAAATGATATGTTCCCTCTTTTTGACTTTTTGTAAGTTTAGTTATACCAGCTTCTTCCTCTTTCGAACTCTTTTGACCTATTATCAGTTGATTAAAACAGTAAAACCTCGATTAATGTTCTTTCGAGAAACCTAATAAAGTTGATAAAATAAAAAATATTTGATTCTCAAATTTATAATTTGATCGCTGATATGGTAGTGGTGTCTGAGTGAGTTTTTGGATTTTGTCTTTAAGAAACTTATTTTAATTCCTACAGAAATTTTAGTATTTTCAAACTAGTTCTTAGTTTACATTCCCTATCTTATTTGAATTACTAAAATCTGTCTAATTGGGAGTAAAGACGAAAACCAAAACTCGACACTAAACTATGCAAAGCCAAATTTGAGCAAGACATTTGGACAAAAATTTATATAAATTTTTGTAGAAGTTTAAATATGCATTTTTTATAAACGAAATGTTCATAAACTATTGAAAACTTTTAATTAAACTATAATTACAATAGATATATAACTTCTTAAAATTATAAAAAGTGACTACTAGTCCTACGTAAGTACGTAGACACAAGTCCTAATCTAGTAGTACCTAATAAAGTTGATAAAGATAAACAAACTGTTTAATTCTCAAATTTATAATTATGCCTCACTTCATAATGAAGTCTCAATACACTCTCTCTTCATGAAATCATAGTGAAGTCTCATTACTCTCTCTTCATCTTATTTCTCCTTCTCAACCAACAAATCTCTCTCAACAAGAAGATGAACAATATTGAAGCAACTCTATTCCTCTGCTTCTTCTTCATCTTCTCATCTTCTCATGTAAGAAAGATTCACTCTTTAGTTTGATTAACACTTCAAAAGATTCCGTATAATGTAACTATTTGCGTTTTTTTGGTAGGTGCATTTCGCCGGAGCTAAGCAAACCGCCGGCAACATTACGGCGTCGGAGAATCCATTCACACCAAAAGCTTCTTTGATTCGTTATTGGAACAATCACATCAATGGCGATTCACCAAAACCTTCTTTTTTCCTCTCAAAAGCCTCTCCTTTAACGGCCGTGGACTCCACGCGGTTCGCCTCACTCGCTTCTACTCACGTGCTTCACACGCGTCACTCCGATTTCTGCTCCGCCGCGAAACTCTTCTGCTTCCCTGAGCTCGCCAACGCTCATTCTGTCGATAAACACGGCGATGACGTCAGCTTCGCCGCTTACAGCGGCAAGAACTTCACAAACTACGGCTCCGACCGTCTCTCCGGAGCTGACTCATTCAAAAACTATTCCGGCGGTGATAACATCGCCGTCGACTCGTTCCGACGTTACAGCCGTAACTCTGCCGGACACGACGATGGATTTACAAATTACGCCGGAGAAGTAAACGTAGCTGACCAAAGCTTCACAACTTACGCCACCGGAACCACCGGAGGCTCTGGCGAATTCACGAGTTACAACACAAACGCAAACGAACCAAACGGAAGATTCACTTCTTACTCCGATAAAGCCAACGGAAGATCACAGACCTTCACTACCTACTCCGATAACGGCAACACCGGAGATCAAACATTCACAAGCTACAGCAAAAACGGAAACGGAGCTCCGAATGAGTTCTCGGGTTACGGAACCGGGTCAAACGTTGTTATTACGGGTTTTACCAAATACGGAGAAACCGCTAACGGAGCTAACGACAGTTTCACGAGCTACGGAGAAAACGGGAATGTTCCGGTTAATGACTTTAAAGGATACGGTGACGGAGGTAACGGCGCCGTTTATGGTTTTAAAAATTACAGAGACCAATCCAACATCGGAGTTGACTCTTTCTCTTCCTACGCTAAAAACTCAAACAACGAGAAGGTCAATTTCGTAAATTACGGTAAATCTTTTAACCTCGGCTCTGATAATTTCACCGGTTACGGCCAAGGTAACGTCGGAGGTAACGTTAGCTTCAAAACTTACGGCCAAGGACAGAGTTTCAAGGTGTATACTAAAGACGGCGTCGTTTTTGCGCATTATTCTAATAATGTGAGTTCCAATGGCAAAACGGTGAATAAATGGGTTGAGGAGGGTAAATTCTTCAGAGAATCGATGTTGAAGGAAGGGACTTTGATGCAACTGCCGGATATTAAAGATAAAATGCCTAAAAGGACGTTTTTGCCCCGAAACATAGTTTCGAATTTACCGTTTTCGTCATCTGAGATCGGAGAGATCTGGGGGGTTTTTGGTGCCGGAGAGAATTCGTCGATGGCGGGGATAATTTCGTCGGCGGTTTCAGAGTGTGAGAGACCGGCGAGTAAAGGTGAGACGAAGCGGTGCGTTGGATCGGCGGAGGATATGATAGATTTCGCTACGTCAGTGCTCGGAAGCGGCGTGGTGGTGAGAACGACGGAGAATGTCGTCGGGTCAAAGAAGAAGGTCGTGATCGGAAAAGTCAATAGAATCAACGGTGGAGATGAAACAAGAGCTGTTTCGTGTCACCAGAGTTTATATCCGTATTTACTGTATTATTGTCACTCAGTTCCTCGGGTACGGGTTTATGAAACGGATTTACTTGACCCGAAGAGTTTAGAGAAGATTAACCATGGTGTTGCCATCTGTCATATTGACACGTCAGCTTGGAGTCCGAGTCATGGAGCATTTTTGGCTTTAGGCTCCGGTCCGGGTCGGATTGAAGTTTGCCATTGGATCTTTGAGAATGATATGACGTGGAATATTATTGATTAAGGTTTTTGGTCATTTTTTGGACCTTTTGGATACTCTTTTTTTTTTTTTTTAATTTGAGATTTGCTTCATGGGTTTTTTTTTTCTTCTGCAAAACTGTCACTCTCTCCCATTTTGTTGATATATAATATGTTTGATCAACTTAGTAAAATTAAAAAGAAAAGTCAGCAAAAAAGTTGGTTTTAGACTAATATATGCATACTTTGCATTCATAAGGCTGTAATATGCACTGTCACTTAAAAAAAGAAGTACTTATGTTTTGTGTGTGGCAACGAAGTACGAGAGAGTGAAGCCATGAGAATTGCGTTTCTGATTTTGACAATCTCCGTTTTATTCATATATAATAGTAGGTTTTAACATGAATCCCTCATAATAGAACAATTTTCTTAGAAAAAATGTAATAGTTTGAGAATAATTGAGAATCATTACTAGGACGAGGACTCTAGTTTTTTTTATTCGGCCTTATTAATTTTATGCGGTGAACTACTACTACATGGAGTATATGAAAAACGGCAATTCAAAACCCATTAATCAACAAAATTTGCTTAAAATTTACTTGTGTAAATGTTGACAATCGTGCATCTAGTTGATAATTTAAAATTTTCCGAATGAATCTCACTAAAGAATGCTTAGAGCTTTGACTCAACCAAGATATTTTCTACTCATATGATAATTTTTGTTGAATTTATTTGTTAATAAAGAATAAAAAAATCGGCTTAACAACTATAAAGTGTAAAATATAAAGAATAAAATATGGGTGCCAAAATGAACAATATGCATTCTTGTTTTATATCCAATTTTGTTAATCCTCCATACATTACTTAAAAGGCGTTTAATGCTCTTTTACTAACTGTATCGTAATAAATTATTCGTATAAAACATGAAAACTTTGAAAAACAGTACAAATATCCATAGAAGATGAGGGGTAGTTGCAAAATAAAGATAGAAGATCAAGGGTAAATCGGTCAACAAGAAAATTAACATATAAATAACGGTAGCAACTAACTTAAAAGCACCTCCATAACATAAGTCTCTCTTCTTCTTCTTCGCTTCATCCCCAAGAAACAAATACTCAATCTTGCGTTTCTTTTTTCTCTCTAGATCCTCTGTTTCTTGATTGATTTAGTTTCATTATGGAGGTATCAGCTTATGATCGAATCAAAGCCGAACTGTTAAACGCAGAAGACGAAGTAATAATCTCACGTTATCTGAAGCGTATGATCGTTAACGGAGATTCTTGGCCTAATCACTTCATTGAATACGCAGACGTGTTCAACAAGGATCCAAATGAGATATTCAGTTCTGAGAGACCTAGATTCGTGATCGTTAAACCTCGAACAGGGAATTGTGGTAAAACCGATGGATGTGATGAATCTGGTTGCTGGAGGATCATGGCTCGTGATAAACTGATAAAGTCGGAGGAGACTGGGAAGATTCTAGGGTTCAAGAAGATCCTCAAGTTCTGCCTAAAGTGGAAACCTAGAGAATACAAGAGGAGTTGGGTAATGGAAGAGTATAGGCTTCCTAATAACTTGAACTGGAAGCAAGATCATGTGATTTGCAAGATTCGGTTTCTGTTTGAAGCTGAAATTAGTTTCTTGCTAGCCAAGCATTTCTACACTACATCAGAATCACTTCCTCGTAATGAGCTGTTGCCAGCTTATGGATTCTATCCACATTCTGAACAAGAGGATGATGAATCTTATTTGTTGACGATAATGACTTCTGAAGGAAACGATTGGCCTAGCTACGTTACCAACAACGTGTATTGTCTGCATCCTTTCGAGCTTGTGGATCTTCGAGATCGGATGTTTTGTGATTACGGAACATGCATCTACGCTAACAAGACTGGTGGTGAAACGGATATATATAATGGTGGTTACTGGAAGATCCTGCACCGTGATAGGCCGATCAAGTCAAAGTCCGGGAAGACCATTGGTTTCAAGAAGGTTTTTCAGTTTTATGAACCGGAGAGAGAAAGAATTTTTTGTAATGGACAAGAAGTGAAGATAGCTTGGATTATAGAAGAGTATAGGCTTAGCGAAAAGGTGAAGCAGAATAAAGTGTTGTGCGTTATCAAGTTTACCTGCAGATAACTAGCTAGGGACTTCTACTCTAGAACATTCTCGAACATGGTCATGATTATTCATGAGTCTTTTGTGTTTCTTATTTCTCTGTTCAATATGGTTTAAAGACTAGTATGCTTATTTCTTTATTTCATTTGGTTTGCCGTTTGTGGTTGAGGATAGGGTTTTTATTGTGGCACAATTTGTTAAACACAAAATAGCGCTAATCGCAAGTAAACAACGCTAGTAGCAGCAATCACAAACATCAGAGATAAATTGAGCCTAAAACGAAGCCAATGTATGAAATGAAACCAAACATAAACAAATGATTATTTAATGAAGACCAATGGGCAGAAAATTGACATGTTTTTTTTTATCTGATTAGCAAAGATCATTGTTGTTGTTGTGTTGATTTGCGATGCAGTGTGTATGCTCGTGTATATTTACATATAGCCTCTGTTGTTGCTAGAGATTTAGAGAGAAGGGATGTTTTCCTCTGTTTATAAGAATAGGCGAATCATGCATTTTGATGGTATTTCTAAACATGGCCAATATATATATCTCATTAGAAGCTTTGATTCAAACCAGAAATTTGCCTACTATTTCTTTTTCATTTTTTACAATAAAGAATTCTATATACTCCCTCTGTTTCAAAAAGAATATCATTCTAGAGTTTGATTTTTGTTTTACAAAGAGTGTCATTATACATTTTCAATGTGATTTTTACACAAAATTTCCTTATTTACTCTTAACTTAAAGCTATTTCTCATTGAATTTAAATCATTAATCACATATTAAATAGAAGCATATATGTATAATTCAATATTTTCTTAAATTGAATGAAATGTGTCAAATTTGTGAAACGGAGAGAGTATATTATTATTTATTAAGTAGGTTCAAAAAAGTTGGTCTCGTAAACCAGCCACTCCGGAATATGTGAATTTATATGGAAGAATATATAACCTGGAAATGGAACACCTTTGTATTGTTATTAATGTTTGTATTAGTTAATGATAAAATTGAAAAATTTAACAACTATAAAGTGTGTTAAATATTGGGAAGACAAAATAGTGCCAAATATGATCCGTTTATCATTTTTAAAGTTGTTTTTATAAATTAAGAAACTTTTATTTTACTGCATGTATGTCAAAATAAGATTATTAATTATACATATATCAACAAAACAACTATCGTATACTTTAATGTTTAAACTGATACTAAATTATTGAACTCGTTTAAGCAAACCAGAAGAAAAAGAAAAATAATAGTTGTAAATTTTTTATCCATTATCCCAAAGATAAAGTTAAAGAAAACTTTAAAAAAAAAAAAAAAACATCGTCGAGGGTAAATTGGTCAACACAAAATTTAGATATAACAGTCCCCACTAACTTAAAAGCACATTCTCTCTTCTTCTTCGCTTCGTCTCCAAGAAACAAAACACTCGATCTTGCGTTTGATCTTTTTCTCTCTAGATCCCATCTTTTTCTTGATAGATTTAGTTTCATTATGGAGAACGACGCAGCTTATGATCTAATCAAACACGAACTGTTAAACGCAGAAGACGAAGTAATAATCTCACGTTATCTGAAGGGTATGATCGTCAACGGAGATTCATGGCCTGATCACTTCATCGTAGACGCAAACGTATTCAACAAGAATCCAAATGAGGTGTTCAATTCTGAGAGACCTAGATTCGTGATCGTTAAACCACGAACAGAGGCTTGTGGTAAAACCGATGGATGTGAATCTGGTTGCTGGAGGATCATGGGTCGTGATAAACTGATAAAGTCGGAGGAGACTGGGAAGATTCTAGGGTTCAAGAAGATTCTCAAGTTCTGCAAGAAGACGAAACCAAGAGAATACAAGAGAAGTTGGGTAATGGAAGAGTATAGGCTTACCAAGAACTTGAACTGGAAGCAAGATCATGTCATTTGCAAGATTCGGTTAATGTTTGAAGCTGAGATTAGTTTCTTGCTAAAGAAGCATTTCTACACTACATCAGAATCGGTTCTTGGAAATGGGTTGTTGCCATCTTATGGATATTCATCAACTACGCAAGAGGAGGATGAATCTTATATGGAGACGATAGTGACTTGTGAAGGAAACTATTGGCCTAGCTACGTTACCAACGACGTGTACTGTCTGCATCCAATGGACCTTGTGGATCCTCAAGATCCGATGTTTCATGATTACGGAACCTGCATCTTCGCTAACGGGACTTGTGGTGAAACTGATAAATGCGATGGTGGTTACTGGAAGATCTTGCACCATGATAAGCTGATCACCGGGAAGGTTAATGGTTTCAAGAAGGTTTTTAAGTTTTATGAAACACGAAGATATGTTTGGGAAGGTGAATACGTGAACGTAACTTGGACTATAGAAGAGTATAGGCTTAGCGAAAAGGAGAAGGAGGATAAAGTGATATGCGTTATCAAGTTTACCCTTGATAACTAGCTAGGGACTTCTACTCTTAATTTCATGATCGATCATCTTATGGACATTCTCGAACATGGTCATGATTCATGAGTCTTTGTGTTTCTTATTTCTCTGTTCAATATGGTTTAAAGACTAGTAGGCTTATTTGATTATTTCCCTGTGTTATTTTTGGCTTTGAGAGGAGATGCTTTTTGTGGTTGCAATTTGTTAAACACAGCTAATGGCATATAAACACCGATATTAGTAGCAATCACAAACATCAGAGACAAATTGAGCCTAAAACATGTGCAAATGATTCGAAAACAACTACATGTTACTCGGAAACATATATTTCTCAAAAACTCTTTTAAAACTATTCCTCAAATTCTCTTCTGATGGAATGAAGAAAAGTTTTCCTTTAAACAGCTAGGGAAGAATGAATACGTACGCTTTGTGCTGGTGCTTGACTTAAGACAATTATGTCTATATGGTGTACTAATAATGCAGCGGCTAAATACGATTGGAGTCTCGAGTATCAATGGATCACGAGGCTAAGCAATCGCAGCTAAGATTCTTCTTTCTACAAATATCAATGGATCTTGAGGAGAAGGAGAATACAAAGACTTGGAGAGAAAACAGAGTTCTCAAAGAAGTTTATTAAATCAAAAGCTGCTGAACTACAAAGGGTTCGAGTCCTTTATAAAGGCTTGACTCTAAACGTGAAGAAGGGGTAAAACACCAAACCCTAGAACTAATCCCCTTAAGACATAATTAATAGTAAAAGCCCAAAACTTAGATAAGAAGTAATAATTGTAATCAAAACAATAAAGCCCACGAAGATATGCTGCATCAGGTCGCCCCAGGGGAAAGAAAATTCGACCCCGAATTTGTATTGTCATCTGCAGGAAGATAAGGAACTAAATGCTTGACGTTGAAAACATCAGAGGTGTTCATATGAGCAGGAAGTTGAAGTCGATATGCATTGTTGTTGATCTTTTCCAAAACTTCAAGAGGACCAATCTTTCGCGCCTTTAGCTTGTTGTATGCCCGAGGAGGAAAACGATCTTTTGTTAAGACAGCCCAAACTAAATCACCCACGTTGAATTGAAGTTCTCTACGGTGTGCGTCAACACTCGCCTTGTACTTCTCGGTGGCAGTCTCAAGATTAACATGAACTTGCTCATGTATAGCTGCAAATTCTTCAACCAGATCACACGCACGCCCATGAAAACGAGTTCGATCTGGTGCATTGTTTAAATCCATAGGTCCCCGTGGATTCACTCCATACACAACACGAAAAGGGCTGAAGCCTGTACTCCGATTAAGCGCTCGATTATGAGCAAACTCCGCTTGGCAAAGGACCTTATCCCATGATTTGATATTCTCACCAACCAAACAACGCAATAAATCGCCAAGAGCTCGATTTGTTACCTCGGTTTGACCGTCGGTTTGCGGATGGTATGCCGAGCTCATATCAAGACTTGTACGTAACAAGCGCCACAAAGATCTCCAAAAATGACTAAGGAATCTAGAATCACGATCCGAAACAATTGAAGAAGGGAGACCATGAAGCTTGTAAATTTCCCGAAAGAAAAGTGTTGCTACTTGAAGAGCATCCGTCGTCTTCTTACACGGAATAAAATGCACCATTTTTGAAAATCTATCCACCACCACAAAGATAGAATCATGTCCGCGTTGAGTTCGTGGTAGCCCAAGGACAAAGTCCATACTAATATCGGTCCAAGGTTGGGTCGGGATAGGAAGTGGCAAGTATAAACCGGCATTTGAAGCATGACCTTTAGAAGCTTGACAAACAACGCAACGTGAGACAAAACGTTCAACGTCCTTTCGTAAGGATGGCCAAAAATACGAGGCTGAGACTAAATGGAGGGTACGATCTCTGCCAATGTGGCCCTCACCGTGCAACTCTTTAATTAGCTTCAAACGGAGACTGCATTCCGGAATACACAAACGTACCCCACGAAAAAGAAAACCATCCAACACCATGTATTCATCTGACAAACCTTTTTGTGCATCCTCCCAAATGTTTGAAAAATACAAATCACTTGAATAGAGATCCGGTAAAACCTCAAAGCCAGGGACGGACACGTGAAGTGTAGTAAGAAGCGAATGACGACGACTTAGAGCATCGGCCACTTTATTAAGAGTACCCGCCTTATGTTTAATCACAAAAGTGAATTGTTGTAGATATGCAAACCACGACGCATGACGAGCAGAGACTTTATCTTGAGACCCCATGTGTTTTAGTGCGTCATGATCGGTAAAAAGAACAAATTCTTTGTGAAAAAGATAGTGGCGCCAATGCTTGATTGCTTGAACCACCGCATATAATTCAACATCATACGTACTATAACGCCCGCGAGAACCAGCAATCTTTTCGCTAAAAAATGCGACGGGTCGACCTGCTTGACTAAGTACCGCGCCTATACCGAGCTTAGATGCATCACAGTGTAATTCGAATGCCATTGCAAAATTCGGAAGCGTGAGAACAGGTGCCGATGTCAACTTATTCTTGATTACTTGAAACGCTTTCTCCGCTTCGTCGGTCCAAACAAACTTTGCTCCTTTCATACAATCCGTAATAGGTGACATTATCCCGCTGAAATGAGGCACAAACCGACGATAAAAGGATGCTAAACCATGAAAACTACGCACGTCGGAAATCGAATTTGGAGTTGGCCATGAGTGAATCGCAGAGACTTTAGCTGGATCAACTCGTAAACCCTGAGCTGAAATGATATAACCAAGAAACAAGACTTCAGTTACTCCAAAAGCACACTTTTTGGCAGCACCAAAAAGTTTCTCACGTCGTAGTACCGCCAAAACCTCACGTAAGTGGTCTAAGTGTTCTACGAGAGAAGAGCTAAAGATTAAGATATCATCAAAGTATACCACAACACACCTACCAATGAAAGGTCTCAACGCTTGATTCATAACCCGCATAAATGTACTAGGCGCGTTAGACAATCCAAATGGCATCACCAACCACTCAAACAAGCCTTCTCGCGTCTTAAATGCGGTCTTCCATTCATCACCCGGACGTATACGGATTTGATGATAACCACTCTTAAGATCCAACTTGGTGAAAATTGACGCGCTCCCAATTTGGTCCAATAAATCATCAAGTCGTGGAATCGGGAAACGATACCGAGTCGTGATCTTGTTAATGGCCCTACTATCAACGCACATTCGCCAAGAGCCATCTTTTTTAGGAATAAGGAGAGCCGGCACCGCACATGGGCTCAAACTCTCACGTAAGTATCCTTTAGCTAATAGTTCCTCCACTTGTTTCCGAAGTTCATCATGCTCAACCGGGCTCATCCGATAATGAGGACGATTAGGAAGTACAGAATTCGGTGCGAGATCAATACAGTGTTGTATATCACGTAAAGGCGGTAGACCTGCTGGAAGGTCGCTAGGGAAGACATCAATAAATTCATTGAGAAGAGGCTGAAAAGCTGATGGTACCTGTAGATCAGATTGAGAAGAACTCGGAGACACAATAAGGGCAAAGGCGATGCCCTCCTCTTGAATAGCATCAACACACTGAGTCTTGGTAACCAACATCGCAGATTTATTAGTTTGCTCAATTTCCGGAGAAACCACTGAAGCATCTTTGTCGGGTGTAGACAATGATGAAGTATCTTGAGATGGAAGCAAAGTAATACGCTTGTTTTCAAACACAAAACTGTATGTGTTATTAAACCCATCGTGAGTAGTTTGCCTATCATATTGCCACGGCCGACCAAGGAGTATGTGACACGCATCCATTGGCATAATATCACAATAAATCAGATCTTTGTAATGCAAACCAATAGAGAATGGTACTCGGCAACGCCGTGAAATACGTCTATCTGTGGAAGAATTTAGCCAAGCTAAATTATAAGGAGTCGGATGACGTTCCACAAACAAGGCAAGTTTATGCACAGCTTCCTCGGAGATAATATTTGTGCAGCTCCCTGAATCAATGACAAGGCGACAAATCTTACCGCGAATAGTACAAGTAGAGTGAAACAGGTTGGTGCGCAGCCATGATTCTTCAACAGAATTTGGTATCAAACAGTTGCGCCGCAAAACAAGAGCCAATCCTTGATCCCCTGTTACTTGCTCCTCTGAATCAACTTGATCGAAATCATTATCATCTTCATCATACACAGGAGCATCATCACTCAAAAGACCTCGTCGCGTTGCCTTGGGACACTCTGCTTGTCTATGTCCGCTCTCACCACAACCAAAACACCGATTTGAAGTTGGTCGTCTTTGATTCATGTTTCCTGTTGAATTCTCAAGAGGTTTGGGAAAAGAAACAGTAGGTGAAACCATATCTCCAGACCGTGATGAAGCATTGTCACCCATGACTTGTGGTCTTGCACGATTTCCCGTCACAGACCAGGAAGATGATGACCCGCGAGCCTGTTGCTCAATGAGAAGAGCACGCTGGTGAGCTTCTGAAACTGATAATGGATTGAATTGCAGTAACATGTTCTGGATTTGAAGGCGCAGTCCCCCAATGAATCGTGACACAAGCTGCTCCTCTGTTTCAGTTAATTGGTTACGGGCCACTAAAGAGAAAAATTCAGAGGCGTAATCATCAACTGATTTGCTTCCTTGTCGAAGATTCTGAAATTTGGTATACATGGTACGTGAATAATTGTATGGAAGAAAGGCTTTTCGCATCAATTTCTTCATCTTCTCCCATGATGCAACACGTTCCTTGCCTGCTCTTGCACGAGTCTCCTTGGACTGTTGCCACCATGCTGAAGCTCTTCCTTTAAAACGAGTCGCCACCAGAGAAACACGCATCGCATCAGGGACCTCCTTAAAGGTTAGTAATTCCTCTATTGTACTTAACCAATCAAGAAAATCCTCCGGCTGTAATCCTCCTGCATACTCTGGTAAGTCAAGCTTAAATCCCACATCCCATCGTCGATTATCAGCCCTCGGAGCTACGATCATATCACGTCGTTGACGTTGTTGCTGATCACCAAGCTGTGCAAAAGGATTGTCATCGAAGACATCGTCTTCATCACCATCAAAGATTTGTTCTCCCTGTCTTGGCAAATTCGGAGCTCTGTTATGTGTTTGAAGGACCTCTCGGACTGTAGTCTCAACAGTGGCACGCATCGTCTCACGCCAATTCTGCTGGAATTCAGCCATCATTCCTCGAAACGCTTCGTTCTGCTCTTCAAGTTGTTGTTGCAGGGTTCTCTTTGGAGGCATGATTAGGACCGGTTCGTCTCTGATACCAACTAATGCAGCGGCTAAATACGATTGGAGTCTCGAGTATCAATGGATCACGAGGCTAAGCAATCGCAGCTAAGATTCTTCTTTCTACAAATATCAATGGATCTTGAGGAGAAGGAGAATACAAAGATTTGGAGAGAAAACAGAGTTCTCAAAGAAGTTTATTAAATCAAAAGCTGCTGAACTACAAAGGGTTCGAGTCCTTTATAAAGGCTTGACTCTAAACGTGAAGAAGGGGTAAAACACCAAACCCTAGAACTAATCCCCTTAAGACATAATTAATAGTAAAAGCCCAAAACTTAGATAAGAAGTAATAATTGTAATCAAAACAATAAAGCCCACGAAGATATGCTGCATCAACTAACTTGGAAAATCTGAATCTGGTTGACAGAAATTAAATTTAAGCAAAGAATCTGCGGCTCTGTATGTTGCATTAAGCATTGGTTTTGGACTTTTTGGTTACATTATTGAGGTGTTTGATTCTGTAGGATAAGAGAAAATGCAGAAGAGGTGTTAAACATGAACAAGGCAAAATAATGCCAATTAAGATCCGTTTAATATTCTTGAAGGTGTTTCCATAAATTAAGAATTTTTATTTTACTGCCTCTATCAATATAAGATTATTAACTCATATACTAGTTTTTATTTTACTGCCTCTATCAACATAAGGTTATTAACTCATATGTCGACGAAACAACTGTATATCGTATAACTGACACTAATTTATTTTAACAAGCTCTTTAAGCACACCAGAAGAAACAAAAAAAAAAGTTTATTTGAAAATTTATCCACAAAAAAGAAATAAAGAGAGATCCTCAAGGGTAAATTGGTTAACACGAAAATATGATGTAACAGTCGCCACTAACATAAAAGCACAATTATTAACATGAGTCTCTCTTTTTCGTCGCTTCATCTCCAAGAAACAAATACGCATTCTTGCGTTTGATCTTCTTCTCTCTAGATCCCATCTTTTTCTTGATCGAATTACTTTCATTATGGAAGACGACGCAGCTTTTGATCTAATCAAAGCCGAACTGTTAAATGCAGAAGACGAGGTAATAATCTTACGTTATCTGAAGCGTATGATCGTTAACGGAGATTCTTGGCCTGATCACTTCATCAAAGACGCAGACGTGTTCAACAAGAATCCAAATGTGGTGTTCGATGCTGAGAGCCCTAGCTTCGTGATCGTTAAACCACGAACAGAGATTTGTGGTGGAACCGATGGATGTGAATCTGGTTGCTGGAGGATCATGGGTCGTGAGAAACTGATAAAATCGAAGAAGACTGGGAAGATTCTAGGGTTCAAGAAGATTCTCAAGTTCTGCCTAAAGAGGAAACCTAGAGAATACAAGAGAAGTTGGGTAATGGAAGAGTATAGGCTTACCAATAACTTGAACTGGAAGCAAGATCATGTGATTTGTAAGATTCGATTTTTGTTTGAATCCGAAATTAGTTTCGTGCTAGCCAAGCATTTCTACACTACATCAGAATCACTTCCTCGTAATGAGCTGTTGCCAGCTTATGGATTCCTTTCATCAGATAAACAAGTAGAGGATATATCTTATCTGGTGACGATCATGACTTCTGAAGGATTAAACGATTGGCCTAGCTACGTTACCAACGACGTGTATTGCCTGCATCCACTGGAGCTTGCGGATCTTCAAGATCGGATGTTTCATATTTACGGAACCCTTATCTTCTCTAACAAGACTTGTGGTAAAACCGATAGATGCAATGGTGGTTACTGGAGGATCTTGCACCGTGATAAGCTGATCAAGTCAAAGTCCGGGAAGACCATTGGTTTCAAGAAGGTTTTTAAGTTCTATGAAACGGAGAAGGAAAGATACTTTTGTGATGAAGAAGATGTGAAGATAACTTGGACTATAGAAGAGTATAGGCTTAACGTGAAGCAGAATAAATTCGTGTGCGTTATCAAAGTTTACTTATGATAACTAGGGACCTTTACTTCGGATTTTGGTATCAACTTAGTATCTTCTGAACATCTTTCTCTTTAAAACATCTATAGATTCATGAGTCTTTCTGTTTCTTATTTCTCTGTTCAATATGGTTTAACTACTAGTATGCTTATTTTTTATTTCCTGTTGTTTGTGGCTGTGAGAAGAGAGGCTTTTTTTTTTTCGCTGCAATTTGCTTTTTAGCAGCAATCACAAACATCAGAGAAAAATTGAGCCTAAACATGAATAATATCTGAAACCAACTACATGTTTCTGAATCAGCAACCCTCTAAAAATGAAGATCAATGGGCAGAAAATTGACATGTTTTTTATCTGATTAATAAAGATCATCGTTGTTGTAGTGTTGATTTGCGATGTCGTGTGTGTGTTCTTGTGTAAATATGTATAAATGTACATATAGCGGTCAATATTTTCCAGGAAAAAACAGAGATTTAAGAGAGAAAAATTAGGTCATCAACGTTGTCAAGCCTTTGTTGTTGCCAGAGTCGTAGCCATTTATAAACCAAGAGTTGCCATGTCGCCTTGAACCGTCAAGGAGAAGAGTAGTTGGGTAGAGACATCGGAGGAGATCGTCGCTGCACCTGAGCCATCACACCAAGAAGAAAGTGAGCATCATGAATTCATGATCCACTAAAGGGAAAGAAAGAGATTGGTTGCATCCCAGAGAAAGCGGAGATGGAGGTTGAGGCGTCACAGAGGAGAGAAGATATCATCACTACTACGAATGTGAATGGAGATTTGGTTCGTGATGGTAAGGAGAAACGAAAAGGGCAGTTTTAAGTTGGTGTTTTTGGAGGAGGATTCCGGTCATATATGGCCAAGTGAGAACTAATAATTAGTGAATCGAGGTAGAGCTTGTGTCGGAAAAGCTACAGGAACTGACAGTGTTTCAATCGAAGTTGAGCTTGAGGAGTTATTCACGTTACTTCATGCGCAAGAATGAACAGAAACAGTCTGATTATGTCCCAAGTCTAAGAACCCAGAATTAATAGTTTGCATCTAGAGGTTTGTGAGGCGATTTCCCATGAACAAATAAAGATCTTGCTGCAAGTACATCAGTGTTAATTGAGTCAATTCTGGCCCAAAGAAAAATATGCTTTTGGAGAGAATATCTTTATGATCTTTTATCATAAATTATACTATCTCTGTTCTTAAAAGAATGATGTTTTGAGTTTTACACACAAATTAAGAAAAAATAACTTTATATTCTTTAATTATTATTTTCGTAGTTTAATAATATTAGTTTCACTTCTCTCATTTCTCTATTGGTCACAAACAAAAATAATAATAATATTCTTACAGAACATCAAACTTGGTGGAACAAGTAAAAAATCCAAAACATCAAATAAATAGGAATAGAGGGAGTATTATTTTTGATTACTTTTTGATGTTTGATTATAAAGAAAAAGAAAATATTTTTAATACTTTGGCATTTTCAGTTTTTTTTTTTAATGGGCCTTTTATATCTAATTTGCGGGTTATATATTTTTTTTTGAAACAAACATGAGCTTTTTTTGTGTGTGTATTTTTCATAAGAAAATAAAAGTATTAATGAGTCGTCGCACCGCTGCTTACCCCTAAGCTTCATCCGCAATTCACAGTGGAAGTTTCCTCATGAGTCTCTCAAAAAAGTGAAGAGAGTCTCTCGACGTGTAGCTATGAACACTTTTATGACATATGTTTGTTGTGAACTAAAATGTTTTGCAGATTGCGTTTTCTAGAGACGATATCATTCCTTTAACTGGAAAAGTTGTGGTCAAGAATAAGCTGTTGGCAGAGGCAGTTCTTGAATCAATCATTGGAAGATTAGCCCAGTTGATGAATAAGAACAAGGTCGAAGAGGAAGCTAACGATCTCTCCCTCGGGGATAATTAAATTGGCAAAAGAGAACAAATAATAAGACAGTTTTTTTTTTCTTGTAGGCCTTTATGTTTCAATTTTATTTTTTATTTTTATTTTTTATTTTTAATTTTTAATTTTTTTTTCTTATGTTTCAAAATTTTAATCCCAGTATCATGGACTAAAATCAAAAATGCCGATCAAATAAAATCTATATTATTAATTGGGAATCACTAAATATTAAATAACCTTATGAAGAGTAAAATATTACAAAAAATGTCATTGATTTTTAGTGTTTTCAATTAACTTCATTAAGGGTACAATAGTAATCACAAATTAGTATATTTAAATAAAAAATAGTTTAATTCTTTTAAATAATTATTAATTTCCAAAAAAAAAACTAATTTTCTCTCTCTTATTAATTATAAACGAAAATTTGAAATTAATTTTTAAAAAATTGTTAACCCACAGGAATTGAAAAAAATAAGATTTGATATCCAACTAAGATTTTAATTCAAAAATAAAACAAAATTTAATAGACTATTCTATATCAAAAATAAAAAGAAAAATAATATCATTTTAATTCAAAATTAAAAACACTATCGTTTAAAAGATTTATCAATGGAGGACTTTAAGATTAAATTTAAAATTTTGTAAGAAAATTAAATACAAATATTTTAAGATTCAGTTTTGTTATAATATTTTCACAAATTTTAAAATATAAAACAAAATTTTATTTCACAATCTCTAAAATACGATATTAGGTATTAACAACTCTTTATATTTATGATGAAATAAACACAAATAATAATAAATTAAAGTAATTATCATTATAGCTTTCGTTTAAAGCAAGTTTGATAAATATCTAACAATAGATTGTATATATTAATTTCTAAATTATTTTGCGTTTTATTTTTTGTTTTTCAACCGGATCTTCCTTAAATAAATCCCTAATATATTGCACACAGCTTTCAAATAATGTAAACTAATTATATATTTTGAATTCAAAACAAATTATGCAGCAATAGCATATCCCTTTTAGAGATGTATCTCAAACTTTTATTTTTAGTCCAAAATCAAATTAATTATGATTAAACAATAAAAAGAAGAATATGCAAAATTTAGCTAAGGAAAGAAACATTAATAAATTTGTTCAAATATATTTGTAACTTTAGCAGCATATATATTAATCTGCAAAACTCACAGTATGTATTATATGGTATTTAAAAGTACGCAAACAAGAATTTGGAACATGATTTTAATGGAATGAAATGAGAATAAGAATTACGAGACGGGATGAGAGGGGAACATAAATTAAAAATCAAACTAAATACCCAATTGGTATGAGTTCAGGTTATGAGCACTATATAAAATAAAGGAAAATTATTAAAAATACCCCTTTTGGTGTGCCCCTTTTCAAAAATGCCCCTTTTAGATGTCCATTTTCAAAAATGCCCATTTTTAAATCTGAAATTTTTATTAAGTTTTATTAGGTTTATAAGGTACTTATGGATTGTAACTACTACTTGAAGACTCAATCCAAGTATTTATAAGGTTTTATAAGGTTTTTTTAAAGGTTTTACAAGTTATTTTAAAGGATTTTTAAGGTTTTTCAAAGGTTTTACAAGATATTTTAAAGGTTTTTAAAGGTATTTAAAATACATTTATAAGGTATTTATAAAGTATTTATAAGATTTTAGATACATAGAAATGTAGTTTGTGTATGTTTTAATAATATTACATACATATTTGGGTAAGTTTTATATTTTTAAGAGCATTTTTTATAAGGTTTTTAAAAAGAGGTATTTTTGAAAAGTGGCATTGAAAAAGTGGCATTTTTGCAAAAGCCCCAATAATAAATTTGTTTACATACATAACCTTGTACGTACGTTTTCAGTTACACATATTCTTTTATGCCGGATACTGGACTGTCATATTTTTATTTTACGTATACAAGACGGGTTATGGGACCAAGAATTTATGACAGATATAGGGCGGGATATGTTTCCCGTTCTAAAATAGTTACGCCTAGCTAATATACATCAAATAACCAAACTCAAACCGAATCTATATCCTATTTAACACATGTAATCAAACTATTAGAAATGTTTTGATTAGTTTAGAAAATAAAAAAAATAACATCATTTAGCTTTTGCAACTAAATTATATCTTAGTTTTATCTTAAATATAATTTCGCACGTATGTGTAGGTCCGGATCTTAAAATATAACTATGCACTAACGCAACTGAATTTCGTTTATTACTCTAATTTTATAATATTTGTACTATTATAAAGTTCACTAACACAACAAAATATTTTATATTTTTAAAATCTATATAACAATTTCTATAAAAATATCTCTACACGTACGTGTGAATCCAAATCTAATACACTAAAATATATATCATAAAAACAACGAAATAATCTATATTAAATTAAATTTGTTAGAACTTTTTTAAAAATATGAAATCCCGCACGTATGTGCGGATCATGATCTAGTTTTATTATCATTAGTTGTTCTTGATTCTCGAGATTACACCAAACGAAACTAGTGATCAAGAAATTATATGGCAGAGATTTGGAACTTTAGGTCAAAATTAAAAGAACAATTTATAATACTTTTAACGTTTAACTTTAGGTCAAAACGTTCATCGAAAAAAAAACGTTTAAAATTCTTTTCTTTTTCTCTGCAAAAAAACGTTTAACATTCTTAAAGGTATTTCATAAATTAAGAAAATTTTATATTACTGCCTGTATCTAAATAACATAATTAATTGTACATATTTCATCAAACCAACTATCACTTTCTATCCCATTATCACAAATTTTGGAAAACAAAAAATATCTGTGGAAGACGAGGGTAGTGAAATAAAGAGAGATAATCGAGGGTAAATTGGTCATCACGGAAATTAGATATAACGGTCCGCCACTATAACTGAAGTCTTTAAAAGCACATTTGTTAACATGATTACATGAGGCTCTCTTCTTCTTCGCTTCATCTCCAAGAAACAAACACTCATTCTTGCGTTTGATCTTTTTCTTGATCGATTTACTTTCATTATAAAGGACGAACCAATGAAAGCAGAAGGCGAAGGAACTTATTGGCTGATCAAAGACGAACTGATCAAAGCAGAAGACGATGTAATAATCTCACGTTACCTGAAGCGTATGATCGTTAACGGAGATTCATGGCCTGATCACTTCATCGAAGACGTAGACGTGTTCAACAAGAATCCAAATGAGGAGTTTTATTCTCCGAGCACTAGATTCCTGATCGTTAAAACACGAACAGAGGCTTGTGGTAGAACCGATGGATGTGAATCGGGTTGCTGGAGGATCATTGGTCGTGATAAACTGATAAAATCGAAGGAGACTGGGAATATTCTAGGGTTCAAGAAGATTCTCAAGTTCTGCTTAAAGACGAAACCTAGAGAATACAAGAGAAGTTGGGTAATGGAAGAGTATAGGGTTACCAATAACTTGAACTCGAAGCAAGATCATGTCATTTGCAAGATTCGGTTTCTGTTCGAAGCTGAGATCAGTTTCTTGCTTGCCAAGCATTTATCGTATCTCTCCACTAGGTCACCGCGTCCTGCAAATCAATTGTTGCCAGCTTATGGAGTGTGTTTATTCGATACAGAAGCGGAGGGTGCATTTTATCTGCAGAAGATAATCGATTACGATGGAAACACTTGGCCTAGCTACGTTACGAACAATGTGTACCGTTTGCATCCATCGACGCTTGTGGATCCTCAAGATGACAAGTTTAAAGAGTTCGGAACATGTATCTTTGCTAACCGGACAAAGGCTTGTGGTAAAACCGATGAATGCGATGGTGGTGGTTACTGGACGATCGTAGAAGGTCATAGAGGTATCAAGTCAAAAACAGGGGAGATTCTTGGTTACAGTAGGGTTTTTCAGTTATCGGAAAATGAGGAACCAATAACTGTTTGTGAAGGAGAAGATGTGAATGAAACAGCTTGGATTATAGAAGAGTATAGGCTTGACGAAAAGAAGAAGAAGGATAAAGTGTTGTGCGTTATCAAGAAGATCTTAATCCCACTAAGCCCACGGTAACAAGGAGAGACTTTTACTCTGGATCTCATAATTATCTAACGCAAAATACTAGATAGTAACTGATCATGGATTCATGAGTCTTTGTGTTCTTTTTTTGTTTTCAACAATATGGTTTCTTAGTTTTTCTATTCAATTTGGTTTAGAGACTACTTTTAATATGCTTATTTAGTTCCCATGGTTTGTGGTTGTGAGAGGTGAAGTTTGTGGTTAAACACAAAATAACGCTAATCGAATGTAACAATGAAATTAGCAGCAATCATACACATCAGATTAAATTTGAGCCCAAACGTAGCCAATCTATGAAATGAAACCAAAGATTTACATGATTCGAAACCAACCACAAATTTCTGAATCAGCAACCCTAATAATCTATAGATCAAAATCAAGTTATATGTAAAGAACTTGATTTTGATAACTTGATTTCGAATCATGTAAATGTTTGATAACAAAATCAAGTTAGGATGGCACATGACATGCCAAACCCCAACGAGCATCCTAAGCACCGTGGCTTGATTACATAATGGGCTTGTTTGGGTTTTGCTAATGGGCTTCTTTTTTGTCAAACCTTTTTTTTTTTTTACTTTTATCAATAGTCAATATCTTGAAGATCTTCTCATCTTTAATTAATAGAAATCTTAGGTACAACAATTGTCGATTTGATTATCGACCATATTAAGAGATTCGATCTTATCTTATCTTATCTCATTCTCGATATCATTTTAATTCTCACCACAAAGCAAAATTTTGATATTAATTTCCCTTAATTAGCACACTTTCTTTATTCTATAAAAACGTTTTACAACATTGTCTATATCACATCGTTTTCTAAGTTCACAAAATTTTCGAGGAAAAACACAATCTTTCTATGATGATGGGAAAAAATTCGTCTAAGTCTGCTTTCATCATCCTTTTAGCTTTTACTGGTAAATTTAATGTTTTTGTACTATAATACGGTTATGAAAAATTGTATTGTGTTACTAATGTTTATTACATTTATGTGTTGTAGTGATGATATCCCTGACATTTCAGATTACTGAGTCGAAACGTCTCTTACCTGAAGAAACTTCTCTGCATCCTGAAGCTTCACTATCGGTTAAACCAAATGGGTTTAGTTTTTGTACACCAAAATGCAAAGAATTATGTTTTGGTACAGGCTGTTATTGCGTTTGCCCTCAAGATCTAAAAACATAAATTGTAATCGTAACTAAATAAAATGTACTAGTGTTTAATATGGTTTTCTGCTTAAGTGAGAATTGTGTGAATCAAACTATTAAACTCCGATGATCGGAGTATCAAAGACGGCGACGAGAGTAGATCGGAGTTGTAACGGAAGAAACAAACTTTCTTATTCAAGAGAAATCAAAAATGTTTGTTACAAACTCAAAGACTAATTAATCTCTGATTAAGCTTATATACAATCATAAGATAACCAAACCAACATTTAAACCGGAATAAACCAAGACTCTAATACGCCCCTCTCAAGTCTTTATCTTCTAAGTGTCTGGTTTAGGAAGATAAAGACTTGAAAGTGACATTCTCTTCAATAAGCCATGGAAAGGACCCGGATGAAGTGGTTTTGTGAGTATATCTCCGTGTTGGTTGCCTGTAGGAACGTGCATTGTCTTCAAATTGTCTGCTTTAATCTGATCTCTAACCGTGTGGCAATCTATCTCAATATGTTTGGTTCTCTCATGGAAAACAGGATTTGTTGCAATGTGTATAGCTGATTTATTGTCACAAAACAGCTTAGCAGGACATGTTACCTTGACATGAAGATCCTTGAGCAAGTGTTGCAGCCAAATAATCTCACAAGTAGCATGAGCAAGACTTCTATATTCTGATTCTGTGCTGCTTCTACTAACAACATTATGCTTCTTTGATTTCCATGATATAAGAGAATCACCAAGATAAATGCAGAACCCTGAAACTGATCTCCTTGTATCTCTACACGTACCCCAGTCAGCATCCGCAAATCCGTTTAAGCACAACTCTGAATCTGCAGAGTACATTAATCCTTTTCCAGGATTAGCTTTAATGTACCTTAGTACCTTGTGAGCCACTTGAAGATGAACATCTGTTGGACTAGAGAGGAACTGACTCAATTGGTGAACTGCAAAGGTAATGTCAGGTCTTGTAATCGTCAGATATAGCAATCTACCAATGAGTTCTCTATATGATGTAGGATTTGAAAGAGGAGTCCCCATGTCTTTTGTGAGATGCAAATTTGGATCCATAGGTATTGAACTAGGCTTGCAGCCTAATTGACCTGCATCTTCCAAGAGATTTTGTGCATACTTCCTCTGACAAACAGAGATGCCAGCAGCTGATCTTGCTATTTCTAGACCGAGGAAAAATCTTGCAGGACCTAAATCTTTTATCTTGAATTCAGATCTCAGCAACTGTTTCAAGTTCTCAACAACAGTTTCATCATTGCTTCCTATCATTATATCATCTACATATACTAGCACAGCAATGATAGAATCTCCAGCCACTTTAACAAACAGAGTATTATCAGCAGGAGATTGTATGTAGTTATCTCCCAATAAGACCGAAGCCAATCTTTTATACCATTGTTGAGAGGCTTGTTTAAGGCCATAAAGAGATTTGAGGAGTCTACATACCGGATTAGGAGGTAAACTCGTACCCGGAGGAGCTGTATATCCTTGTGGCAAACTCATGAATATTTCTTCATCAAGCTCTCCGTGCAAAAAAGCATTTGATACATCCATTTGAGTTAAACTCCATCCTTTTGCAGCCGCAAGACCAAGTAGAAGTTTCACACTTGTTAGTTTTGCAACAGGGGAGAAAGTATCCATGTAATCAATACCTTCTTGTTGTGTAAAACCCTGTGCCACTAATCTTGCCTTGTACCTTTCAACAGTACCATCGGGGTTATATTTGATTGTGAATACCCATTTACAACCCACAACATTTTTACCTTCAGGTAATGTCTCAACAACCCATGTATTATTCAACTCAAGAGCTTGTAACTCTTCATTAGCTGCATTTGTCCATTTCTCAGATTTCATGGCCTGTTTAAAAGTATGTGGTTCTGTTTCAAGACTATAAGATAGAATATATGAATTGAAAAGAGGAGTGAGTTTATCATAAGATATAGTAGTAGAAATCGGATATGGAGTAGTGTGTTTAGGTAAGACTGGTTTATTAACAAGAATAGTGTTTTGAGAGAGTATAGGGGAAGCTGTATTTATAGGTGGTAAAGTAGTATAGGAAGTATTAGTGTTTGGAGATAGTATAGAAGAAGTAAAAGGTACTAAAGCACAATGATACTCAGATAAGTAAGTAGGTGCTTTAGTTGTCCGTTTAGGCCTAGCAACATGTACAGTCTCAACACCAGTATCATGTGTTCCTGTATTATGATCTGTAATGGTGGTACTAGAGTCCCTATGTAGTGTATCATTGGAAGATGATGCATGTGCAGGCGATGATGAAACATGCGATGATGATGATGCAGCAGGAATAGCAGTCAAATCATCAACAATAGGGAATTAATCAACAAAGTGCAAAGGAGCAGGTAATGGTAAAATAGAATTGGGAAACATGTCTACTGCTTTTGACAATAATGCATCAGTCTTAAAAGGAAATTGATTCTCATGAAAAACAATATTTCTTGAAATTAAAATTGAATGAGATTCTAAATCCAGAACCTTGTATTCTTTAAAACCTGATGGATAACCAATAAAAACACATGGTTTTGCTCTTGGTGAAAATTTATGTCTATCAGAAACATTAGTCGACACATAACACAAACAACCAAAGTTCTTCAACATGCTATAATCCGGTTGTTTTTGTAAAAGTAATTCAAATGGTGATTTATTTTCTAACAATGGAGAAGGCATGCGATTGATCAAAAAGACAGCAGTTAACACACAGTCACTCCAGTATTGTAAAGGTATATTTGATTGAAAAAGGAGTGATCTAGCAACATTAAGCAAGTGTTGATGCTTTCTCTCAACAACAGAGTTCTGCTGAGGAGTATAAGCACAAGAAAAGAAATGCATCATGCCTTGTTCCTTTATAATATCAGTAAAGGCTAATTCAGGAGCATTGTCTGTCCTAATGGACTTGATTTTAGAATTATATTGAGTAGAAACCAATTTTAAAAACGCAGGAAAAGCAATAGAAACATCTCTTTTATTTTTCAACATATAAACCCAAGTAACTCTTGTACAATCATCAACAATAGTAAGAAAGTATTTAAAACCTTCAACAGACTCTACACTGAAAGGACCCCAAACATCTAAATGCACTAAATCAAAAGGATTTGGTGACAAATTATTATGAGACACATAAGCTAATCTTTTCTGTTTTGCTAAAGGACATATTGAACATTGTGAAACATCAGATGATATACTTTTTTAAGAAGGAATGACACTAACAAGTTTTTGTAAAGCTGTGGTTGATGGATGACCAAGGCGTTGGTGCCAAAGAATTCCATCAGCCAAAACAGAACCAGAAAAAGAAGAACATGCTGCAGGAAGAGATGCTGAGAGGGATGGCTTCTCTATATCCAAAATGTATAAGTTGTTGAAAAGTTTACCCCTCCCAATCATCAAGCCCCGAGAAAGTTCCTGAATGTAACAACAAGTAGGAAAGAAATGAGCAGAACAAAACAGAGTTTTAACTAAACAACTGACACTTATCAAATTGAATTTAAAATCAGGTACATGCAACACATTATACAAGATTAATGTTTGAGTGATGCAAATGGTGCCAGTGTGTGTTATAGGAACTCTAGTGCCATTAGGTAAAGTCACAGTTACACTAGATACTGGTATTAAATCCCTAAACATTGCTAAATCTGAACACACATGGCTCTGATACCATATTAAACTCCGATGATCGGAGTATCAAAGACGGCGACGAGAGTAGATCGGAGTTGTAACGGAAGAAACAAACTTTCTTATTCAAGAGAAATCAAAAATGTTTGTTTCAAACTCAAAGACTAATTAATCTCTGATTAAGCTTATATACAATCATAAGATAACCAAACCAACATTTAAACCGGAATAAACCAAGACTCTAATACAAACTAGGAAAATAAATTCTTGGAAGTACCGCCACTCTCACTTTTAGCCAGTGAATTCCATTCTCAATAGTTTATTGTTCCAGAAAAAAAAGTGAAAGATTTATCGACTAATTTCCAAGAAAAAATGAGAAATAAATACTCCCTCCGTTTCGTTTTACTTGTCGTTTTAGAGTTAAAATTTTGTTTCATAATAGTAGTCGTTTTAGGTTTTCGATGCAAATGTTTGGTGAAAATTCTAGTTTTATCCCTACTGTTTTAATGATTCGGCGAATGATTTTTTTTTTATAAAATATATGAATTTTTTTATAAAATATATTAATAAAGGTTAAAACAAAAATGTTCCAGTCATTATCAATTCTAAGAAGGTATGTCAAAGTCTACCAACAATAATCATGCCATTTTCGTAATCAATGGATGATTTTGTTTGTTTAATTTATGTAAATTTTGGATGACATTTTAATATGACGACTTTTGCCTCTTTAATATTAGAGAAATTATGTAAAGTATACACTTTTTCTAAAAATAATTTGCAAAGTAGGTTGTTTTTTAGAAATGAGGAGAATAGACATTTTTTTCTTTCCTCTCTAATACAACTTTCTCTCTAATAGAGATTTTAGTAAATGACTTATATATCCTTTTGTTGTTTTGTTATGTAGCAAGATAAAGACAAAACTAATTTAAAGTCAAAATTATTGTTTTTTCTCTTTCTTCTTTTTACTTAAATACTTTTATTTTGTTTTGTTTTGTTAAAAATTCTTCATAAAAAATTACTACATAAATATATTAATCTTTAAAAATTTTAAGTGCATCTAAAAAGTCCAATTTGCTATATTTCGAATATACGTTACATTTTTTAATTTAATCTCAATCCGTCGGTGTACACAATAACATAAAAAGTGGTGTACAAATTGTAGTGTACGGCGATAATATAAAAATTAATGTATATTATTAATGTAAACGTGATATACAATATGTAGACAGTGTACAAGGTGGTGTACAAACGACAATTGATAGTGGTGTACACCTACATAATACGATGGTGTACGGAGATGATGTAAAATATGATGTACATAAAACGATGAGATAGTATGTCACACCATATACCACCTCGTATGTAGTCTACAATATCGCATACCCACCTATTTTGTACTTGTTCACCACATACAAAAAAAGAACCATTTTTGTCAAGTGATAATGTACAAAACAATATTTACACAATAGTGTACGAGATTGGTGTACAGAAGAGTGTACAAACGTTAGTGTACACTACGTAGAAATATACAAACATTATTTCAATTTAATGGTATACACTATACACCATCATATTCATTGGTGTACATGATGGTGTACACCATTATATTTAGTATAACCTATGGTTTATATTACTATCGTGTTTGTATTAATATTATGAACAATAATTACTTCAATTTACAAATATAAGACAAATCGATGTACTTAATGACTTGATGTACAAGTTAGTGTACAAAACTGTGTTTAAAATACTGGTGTACGAGAAATGCAGCATATCTGATGTTCTAGAGGGATTTGTCTTTGGATCTTCCACTTCTGCTTATCAGGTTTGGAATCAATTTCTTTTCTTGAATTTTGGAACAAAACTGAATCAAATGTTTGGTCTCTGGAAGTGGGAAGGAGCTGTTGCGGAAGACGGAAGGAAACCTAGTGTCTGGGACACATTTTGTCACTCACGTACGTAAGAGCTTTCATGTTTTAACATTAACTATTTTTAGTGTTTTGAACATATATTAATACTCTTTCTAAAATTGCAGAGTATAACCAAGGTAATAACGGAGATATAACATGTGATGGGTATCACAATCACAAATACAAGGTTCTTTCTCTTGTCTGCTAATTTACTCTCTTCTTGTTACATTATGAGTTTCTTATTTATCAAGCCTAAGTTCATTATGATGAATTTATACAGGAAGATGTGAAGTTGATGGTGGACACTAACTTAGATGCGTTCAGATTCTCCATGTCTTGGTCTAGGCTAATACCTAGTAAGTCTTCTTAAACATGCTCGCTTAGTGTTTACTTAAAGAGATCAAGTTTATGAGTTGTTAATTACCTCATTAGATAGAAAAGGCCCTGTTAACCAGAAGGGTCTACAATTCTACAAGAATCTCATCCAAGAATTAATAAACCATGGTAATGCCTCTCTTCATATCCACTCGATTTTTTTTGCGCGGTGTTATTATTAACTGGACTATAAGTAAAAACTTACTATAGGAATTGAACCATATGTTACACTGCACCACTTCGATCATCCCCAATATCTTGAGGACGAATATGGAGGATGGCTCAACCACACGATCGTGTATGTTATCATAAAGCGGCATTATATTACTTTCTTTTTACTGATTTTGTAGACAAAAATTGATGTGGGATATTAAAAACTCGTTGTTGTTTGCCATTGCAGCGAAGACTTTACTGCTTATGCAGATGTTTGCTTCAGAGAGTTTGGAAACCACGTCAAATTCTGGACCACGATCAACGAGGGCAATATATTCTCTATTGGAGGTTACAGCATTGGGGATTCACCGCCTGGTCGTTGTTCAAAACCAGACCAAAACTGCTTATCAGGGAACTCTTCCACTGAACCATATATTGTAGGCCACAATTTGTTGCTTGCGCACGCCTCTGTTTCAAGACTATATAAGCAAAAGTACAAGGTGTATATATTTTACATAACCCTTCTTGAATGTTTGAATTGATGACAAGAGAGCATCATACTATATATTATATACAATGTGCAGGATAGGCAGGGAGGTTCCGTTGGCTTTAGCATATTGACGATATGGTTTACTCCTTTTACAAGCTCCAAAGATGATGCCATTTCAACTCAAAAGAGCCAATGATTTCTTCAACGGCTGGTGAGTACTCAAGCACAAACTGTTCCAAACGATATGATTTTTCAAATTAGGCAACATGAAATGAAAAGAAAAACCAAATCTGCTCTTTAAAACTCAGGATGCTTGGTCCTCTTATATATGGATCTATCCAGATACAATGAAAAGAATCGTTGGAACAAGACTGCCCATTTTCTCGGAGGAAGAATCAGAACAAGTTAAAGGCTCATCTGACTATATATAGGAATCAATCACTATCTTGCAGCTTCTATCACAAACAGCAAACTGAAACCTTCTATTTCAGGAAACCCTGATTTCTTCTCAGACATGAACGTATTTTTGAGTTGTAGGAATCAAACTCAATCTAGCTATTTACTTTTTATCGCGATACTAACCATCTCTTCTTTGCTTTAATGATGGCCGGGACAGTCTTTGCGAATTTTTCATCTTCCGAGGTAAGAGTTTTGATGGCTACCAAATTCTTATGCAAAGGTTTTAGGGAAATAAATGTTCTTAGTTGTTTTGTTTTTGTTTGGATAAATATGATGTTGCTCCATGGGCTGTAGAAGCTGTCCTGGAGTATGTAAAGCAGAGCTATGGCAATCCTCCTGTCTACATTCTTGAGAATGGTCTCTCTCTCCCTCTCTTTTTCTCTACCTCTCTCTCTCTCTCGTATTATTCTTAGTCAGCTAAATTCTCTGCCAATGAATAGGTCGACCGATAAAGCAAGATTCGCAGCTGAAAGAGAAGGACACACCAAGGACTGAGTTCTTACAAGCTTACATTAGGTGAGTAAAGTTTCTTATTGCAAATTCTCATCACTTCTCTTGTCAGTGTAATAAAGAAGAAAAAATATTACTACTTGTAGGAATGGATCGGACAGGTGAGGCTACTTCGTATGGTCACTTATGGATTTATACGAGATTAACGGGGGATACGAGGTTGGTTATGGATTGTTTGCTGTCAATTTCAGTGATCCTCATCGCAAGAGATCTCCCAAACTCTCTGCTCATTGGTACTCTGATTTTCTCAAAGGAAAAAGCGCTTCTCTTGGTTCTCAAGGCATCACGGAATTGCAAATTAAAGTAACTTATCTTCTTCCTCCTAGTAGTGAATTGCATTATATGTTCTGATGAATTTGTTGTGTTTATGAGAAGCTTAATGAATAAAATTTTATCTTCTACTGCGTTTAGTTTTTAAGGTCTACTTAACAATATGACACTGATAACGAGTCCATAGGGATATGGTGGCTTGGGCAAAAAGGTTGCCTTGACCAAAGCCTGATCAAGTCCACAGCCCACAGGCCTGAATCTAGCTATGATACTCAGACTGAGATTAACACAATATTGGGGTTTCCAATTCAAAAGAGAGTTGTTATGTTTATGATATTCAAGTCAATAGCATGGAATTAACTTCCTAAAAGACAGTAAAACATTAATTAGTCTACAATATCTAAAAGTTATGATTTATGAATGTCTATAGATAAGTTGACATTGATTTTAGTTCAGAAAAATGGATGATCAATCTACAACCCCACGGAAACTTTGAATTAAGGCTCAACCACACAAAGTTTTTTTGGACCTTTTTTATAAAGAACCACATGAAATGAAACTTTCCAATCTCTAAGCACACCAGATTTAATAACCATTCTCAAACCAGTTGTTAGTGTTTTTTTTTTTTTTTTTTTTTTGTAACAGTTGTTAGTGTTTAATTTAAACGATTTCCTTTTAATGAAGTTATTATTAATTTCTAAGCACACCAGATATTGCATTTGAATGAGTTTGGCTGAGGAGGTTTCCAGAATGATATTTGTTCAATCTTCTTGCGCTTGCTTCCATTCAAAGTTTCAGTTTTAAGATTCATATATAATAGGTTTCAACGTGAAAATTATATAATACCAATTCTCTTCATGCAAATATAATTTTTTCATACTATATTTCTACAACTCACAATCATTGATAACCGAAGTGCTTCTTATTTCCAAGTGGACTGAAACAGTACAAAATCCCAATAATGTATGACGAATGAAAAATCTCTATATTTATTTATTTCAACACGTGTTCCACACTTCTACAATAAATACAGTGGACCATTTACTTTTGTTTCTTCGTCACACAAATATTATCTCTTGCGGTAGATTAGAAATGGAACAGATTTTTGCTCTGTTTACCATTTTTCTGGCTTTTGCTTTCTCCGGGAGGTGCAGCGACGTTTTCAGCAGATCTGATTTCCCCGATGGATTCCTCTTCGGAGCCGGCACTTCTGCTTATCAGGTTTGGAATCAATTTCTAAGCTTCTTCTTTTCTTTTGAAATTTTTGAACCAAATGTTTGGTCTCTGCAACTGCAAGTGGGAAGGAGCTGCTGCGGAAGACGGAAGGAAACCTAGCGTGTGGGACACTCTTTGTCACTCTCGTAAGCTTCCATTTTAACATTAACTATTATTAGTATGTTTGATCAAATATATTAAGAAACAGAGATTGGTTGTTACTTCGAATTTATGCTTCTGATCAATATCGTTTGATTCTTGTTTCTAACATTGCAGGTAACATAGGTAACGGAGATATAGCATGTGATGGGTATCACAAGTACAAGGTTCTTTCTCTTCTCTGCTTTACTCTCTCCTTGTGACTACTACATTTTTTTCAAGCCTGAGTTCATTGTGAGTTTTTAGGAAGATGTGAAGATGATGGTGGACACTGGCTTAGATGCTTTTAGATTCTCCATCTCTTGGTCTAGGATAATACCTAGTAAGTCTTCTTAAACACGCTAGGTCTTTATGCCGGTTTTGTTCTACTTGAACGGGTCAAGTTTATTATTAGCTCTTATCTCTCATTAGATGGAAGAGGCTCTGTTAACCAAAAGGGTCTACAGTTCTACAAGAACCTCATCCAAGAATTAATATCCCATGGAATTGAACCACATGTTACACTGTATCACTACGATCATCCTCAACATCTTGAGGATGAATATGGAGGATGGGTCAACAATATGATGATGTAGGCTAAGAAAAAGAATCATTACTTAAAATCTCTTTTACAGATTTTCTAGAACAATATGATGTGAAATTAAACTTGGTGTTATTTGGCATTGTAGCAAAGACTTCACTGCTTATGCAGATGTTTGTTTCAGGGAGTTTGGGAACTATGTCAAATTTTGGACTACGATTAACGAGGCTAATGTATTCACTATTGGAGGTTATAACGATGGGGATACACCGCCTGGTCGTTGTTCTTTACCGGGCAAAAACTGCTTGTTAGGGAACTCTTCTACTGAAACATATACGGTGGGCCATAACTTACTGCTTGCGCACGCCTCTGCTTCAAGACTATATAAGGAAAAGTACAAGGTATAAGAAGTGCTTATGCATGAATATATATTTTACAAACTCTTCTTAAATGTGTGAGTAACATACTATATACAATGTGCAGGATAAGCAGGGAGGTTCCATAGGCTTTGGCTTATATTTAATGGGGTTTACTCCTTCTACAAGCTCCAAAGATGATGCTATTGCAACTCAAAGAGCTAAAGATTTCTATTTCGGCTGGTGAGTCAGGCACAAATGGTTCCAAAAGTTTATCAGATTGGTGAACTTATCGAGAGGTTTTAAGCTGAAAAGAAAAAACGAATGTGCTGTTTAAAACTCAGGTTCCTTGGACCTCTTATATATGGAGACTATCCTGATACAATGAAAAGAACCGTTGGATCAAGACTGCCAGTTTTCTTAGAGGAAGAGTCAGAGCGAGTTAAAGGCTCATCTGACTTCATAGGAATCAATCAATATTTTGCGGCTTCGGTCACAAACATCAAATTCAAACCTTCTCTTCCTAGAAACCCGGATTTCTACTCAGACATGGGCGCTTATGTGACTTGTATGAACCAAACTCAATCTTTTGAATAACAAGAAAAAAAAAAAAAAAAACTCTTTGGAGCTTGCTAATTTGTTATTGCTAATTGTTTTACTGGTTAGAAGACCTTGGGAATTTTTCAGTTATAGAGGTAAGAGTTTTAATGTTACCAAATTCAGATGCAAAACATTTTAAGTCTTTAAACAGATAAGTGTTACTAATCTATCTTTTTCTTTGTTGTTTTGTTTTTGTTTGGACAAGTATGCTGTTGCTCCATGGACTATGGAAGCTGTCCTGGAGTATATAAAGCAGAGCTATAACAATCCTCCTGTCTACATTCTTGAGAATGGTCACACTCTTGAATCTTCTCTGATTTCTCTCTCTCTGTTTATGTTTTTGTCTTAGTCTACTCAGTTCTCTTGATATTGCCAACAAATAGGTACACCGATGACACAACAGAAGGATACACATAGGGTGGAATACATGCATGCTTACATAGGTGGTGTTCTCAAATCCATAAGGTAAGTAAAGTTTCTTATTGACTCTTCTCTTCATCTCTCTTGTTAGTGTAATAAAGAAAAAAAGGACATTGTTACATGTAGGAATGGATCAGACACGAGAGGCTACTTTGTATGGTCATTTATGGATTTATTCGAGCTTATAGGGCGGTACGATTATGGTTATGGATTATACTCTGTCAATTTTAGCGATCCTCGTCGCAAGAGATCTCCTAGACTCTCTGCTCATTGGTACTCAGATTTTCTCAAGGGAAAAACCCCTTTTCTTGATTCCCAAGGCATCAAGGAATTGCAGAGCAACTTCTCTCCTTCCTCTTAGACTTCTAGTAGTGTGATGAATCAACTCCTTATGTTCTACTGAATTTAGTCTGCTTGTCATGAGAGTCACCTCTTTTTTTCTTTCTATAATTTCTAAACTAGTTTGGTGACTACAAGAAATAAGTTGATTTTACTCAAAAAAAAAAAAAAAAACAGCCCTAAAGTCTTTTTGGGCTTGTGGCCCTCATAATCAATAGAGAATAGAGAACATTAATGTGTTACCAAAGGGAAATGATGAGAAATTCCAAAAAATAATCACATTAATTTATCTTGTTTCTATCCCGTTTTGTTATGTTGATAACTTGGGATAATTTGTTCTTTAGCAAAAAAAGAAATTTATACTTCAAAATTTGAGAAATAACTTTATTTTTACCAAAAAAAAAAAAACAAATGGAGAAACAAGGATCAAATTTTCAAATATCAAATATTTCTCTTTTTTCCAAAATTTCTTATTAATAAATTTGATTTTGAAATTTGAGAATAATTTATAGTTAAAGATAATTACATAATTAATAAATAATTAATAATTACATAATTAATAACTTTTTTGTCGAAGATAATTACATAATTAATAAACAATAACAGAATTATCCCTCTATTTAATCAGTTAGCAAAAAAAAAAAATCTACAAATACGAGCTTCTTATATAAATTGCGTTAATCTATAAATATTTGTCATAGATTACTTCACAGAGAAAAAAAAAAGGTTGGCTTCCTTCTCTCTTTCTTGGTGTGTAAGTTCATTGTTTCTCTGTTTCTTCTCTTCCGTTTTGCTAACTTGCTAATTTTGTGATAATCTTTATGAATTATTTTTTCAGGAAACATGGCTCAAGTGTGTCACACATGTAGACATGTAAAAGCCGTGATCCGTTGTGTTACAGAAACTCTTAACTACTGCCTTACATGTGACTACTTGCACCATTGTAATAACTTACATGCAGGACACGTACGTTACCAACTTTGCGATAACTGCACGATAAATCCATCTATACTTCTCTGTTACGAAGACGGGAAGGCTCTTTGTCAATCTTGTTATTCAACACATTACAATTGTGCCCCTAATGGCCATCACATTCAAATCGTCAGACGCATACAATACCCTAACAACAATACTCAACACCATGATCATGCACATATGCCTCATGTGGTTGACCATAACAATAATAATAATCGTCAGCAGCATCATCAGGAGCATGTGCAACATGAGGGTGGTCACCAGCAGAGAAGAGCAGGGATGTTTGAGAGGAGCTGCCATGGGGATAACAATTGCGAGAGATGGATGTTTGCAATGGGATGTGAGTTGTGCTTAGCTTCGAGTTCAAATGCTGTTGTTTATTGTTCTGCACACAACAAGCTTCTATGCGATGATTGCGACCGGATGACTCACATTCAAGAGGCCACGGTACCGCCGCATTCAAGGTGTAAGCTTTGCGTAAACTGCAAGAGACCTTCTAGCAAATTTCTCATTGGCGGCTATCATTTTAATTTCCCACGGGTTCATCCTCCGGCGGCCGAGGAGATTCCAGCGTCGCCCCCTAGAGAACTCCCTCAACAAGATATTAATGGATTTCAAGATGATGATGATGACTTTTCTTGGTTTGGTATGTGAATAGTAATCGTGTTCTTTAGCTTTTATTTTATTTTATTTATGTGTTTTGTTTAGAGTTTTCGTGGGGGTTTAATTCTAGGTGTATTATCGCTTTTAGATAGGCGATACGAGTGATTAAACCTACAAGGAACACAATTAAGTGCTGTGTATGGACATGAAATCTTTCCTTATATGCAACTTTTTATTTATGGAAACTTTCTATTTCTCATCTAGAAAGAAATCCTAAATAAACGTGTACTTTAGGGTTTTGGAATATTTCCTTATGAAGGGGTTCCCTATTTTGGTAACTTTCTATTTTGGGAAACTTGCTATTTTAGAGAACCTTTTATTTTGGGAAACTTGCTATTTTACAAAACTTTCTATTTCTGGAAACTTTCCTTATATGGAACTTTCTATTTATGAGAAACTTGATCTTAAACCGTGACTTAGGGTTTATTAAACCGGTTTAACCTAGGATTTAGGGTTTTGGTTTACTTTCGGTTTAACCTAGGATTTATATTAAAATATTCAATCTATCATGTCATTAAATATCTTTCTATTCACTAACTTCTCAATTAATTCTCCAATCATAAATCAAATCATATGTGCCAATTTTCATGCAAATTTTATCTTATCAAACTTTAATTGGATCATGTACATAAAGCATAATAAATAAATAGCACTTATCTTAATTGGAGAACTGAAACAGAGACCCGAGATCTGATACGGAGATTGGAAAACGTTATGTCTCTTAGCTGGTTGGGTCCTCCTACAAAATCTCAATATATATAATCCTGATTCCTGAGAAACTCAAAATTTTGCTCATGGAAACATGGCTATTGCATTAGTAAAAAAAAAATAGGGTTTCTGTAATATACTGCATAAAATAGTTCAGAATCAATAACATATAATCCGTGCATAAATCGTACAAAAATATAGACAGGATTGATAATAAATAATCCGTGCAAAATTTGTGCAAAATTTGTGCAAATCTGCAGACAGAATTGACAACAGATAATCTGTGCAAAATTCGTGCAGAAATATAGAAAAAATTGATAACATATAATCCGTGCAAAATTCGTGCAAAACTACAGACAGAATTGAAAACAAATAATCCGTGCAAAATTCGTGCAAAAATACAGACAAAATTGATAACATATAATCTGTGCAAAATTCGTGCAAAACTACAGACAGAATAGATAACAGATCATCTGTGCAAAATTCGTGCAGGAATACAGACAGAATTGATAACAGATAATCCGTGCAAAATTCGTGCAGAAACAAATATGAACAGAAAACTTATCTCGATAGAGTTTAGAATTTTGTTTTACAGAGACGGCTAGGGTTTTGGTTTTGGTTTTTGTGAGAGAGATTTAGGGTTTCGGGATTTTTAACTTTCAGGGTGAGAGGCTATCGTGCTGATAACGTGTTGTGAACTATTCATCTCATTAATAGAATAAAGGATATATATACAAGAACAATAGCAGGATACAGAGAATAAGGTAAAATCCTAATGTGCCATGGGCCGGTTATGGAGTCCATCCATATGGTTTATAACATTATCTACATTGTTTTGAATTTTATTTTTCAGCCGAACTATTTCTAAGAACGATGCACTAGTTGTAAAAACGTATATTTTTTTTTAATATAATTTAACATTAGATTCAAAAAATAATAATAATAATAATAATCAGTTGGATTGAATATGTTACCAGAAAATAAAATTTCAAAACTAACTTCAATTTGTTCGGGATGGAAGATATATATGATCTTCCAATGAGATAACTAGAAACTATCTAGAAAACGTAATTACAGAAAAAACATTAGAAAATAAATTGATAAATGATAAGAACACAATTCTTTTTGATAAACAATCGATGCTTAAGGGGTTTATAGAAATTACAGTAAATTCTACGTTGCGATTTTAATTTTATTTAAGAAAGTCAAGGACTAACTCCAATATTTCCAACTAGTAAATGCAATGGAATCAAATCACAAAGATCTTGCATTTTTTGGTATTTGAAGAACGTGAACAAAGGAATCGATCGAGATCATAGATCTATTATGGGTGATATTTACAACCAAAACAATGTCATCGTGTGGGGGATAGAAATAATATGGTTTGTGATGTAACTGATGGATCGCAACCTTTTGATTTTCAGAAAACGTATTGGAGTTTCATAAAAGAGATGATAGCTAAATAAGAAGATCAAATTAGACTAAAGATGAAGTCGAAGACAAGACGATCAAAGAAAATAACAGATCGATAAATCTGTTAGCGTATAAGATTTACCTATGAAATGAAGCATTGCGTAATTTTTCTTTTTCGATTATTTCGTTAATCTTAAGTATTGGTTGTATGGATAATAGAGCTTTCACATGTATGCTCATTGATTAATCTGTAATCTTTTAATAATGTTAATAAAAAAGATGTTAAAAATATGCATATTCTCCACGTTTTGTTAATTAAATTTAATTCAAATATTATTTAAGAACTTTAGATTTTAATCTTTAAATAGAAGTAAAAGTATACAAATACTGACAACTGTCCGTCTAATTATTTCAATAAGCGAAGATTATAGAATAACTAGATAAGGACCCGTCCAATGGACGGGTTTATTTTTTTAAAAAATTAAAATCAAATTTAACAAAAAATTAATTAACAACGTTGTAAGTACAAATTTTCTTTCAAAAGTAAAAACAATATTTACTTTTTCACTGTTGCCTTGTTTCTTTAACCACTAAAATTATTAATTCAAATTATTTCGAATGAAAGATATATCACATAACAATAATTCATGGTATACTTATACGTAGAACAAAAATTAAAAATATTCATCATAAAGTTGGTGAATAAAACCAAAGTGCTGTTTAATTAGACACGTAAAAAATATAAAGATGATAAATCGACTAAATTCTTTAGTCTTCCAAGCTAACGTTGCGGGTTCGGTTCCTATATACTCGATTGCAATAACTTTATGATCAATCAATAAAAATTAATAAATTCAAAAAATTATAAGCACGATGATATATGAATCTTATATAATTCAAATATGAACATAGAAATTGAAATAAACAATTTTGAAATAGCATAATTAAATTCAAAATCTCTATACTATTAAAAGAGAAGTACAAATGAAAATGGGTCGGGTTAAAATCAAAAAGTTGACCCGAAATTCTGAAATCGGATCTTTGAATTTTTTTTGGAATATAAATTCGAATTAATAATGAAAAATCGAAATAAAATCAAATATTTATGGAAATCAAATAAAATCTTATTGTACTTATGGTAACTAATAATAAAAGCATATTCCGAACAATATTATACATTAATTAAGTATAATAAATTTGTTCATATATTTTTGGGACTAATTCCATAACAATCAACGTTTTTGTCATTAATTTCGCTCATTTTAGCCAATTATCATTAATTGAAAGATATTTTATTTGCTTCTAAAGATTTCTAGAAAATTTATCACAAATAACCCATCTGTTTTATAAATTAAATTGATATTTTTATTTTGGTCGTGTAAATTAAATAAATATTTTTATTTTGGTCGTGTAAATTAAATAGATATGAAATCCATGTAACTAATTTTAATTTAATTAGATTAAATCGAAATTATGATATTTTCATACCTATAGCTTACCAAAGAAGTTTAATTTTCAATTTATAAAGATTTATTGAATATGATTTTAGAATTATTCAACAAGATGATAAATATTTATTAAATTTTGTGAATCATGAAAAATAATAATTAATTTTTAATTATTATACTTCATCTTTCAATCTCTCATCTAACAAATAAGATACATATTTTATTATTACTATGTCCAAACTTCATTTTGTTGTATGACTAAATAATATTCCCATTAGAACTGTCAAAGCGAGTTGATTCGTCCCGTTAAGTCTGTTTTGCGATAGACAAAAAATATTTTGACTTGTAGTTAGTCGGTTCGCACGACCCGCGGGTAGCATATATGAAATACAAACCCGTCCCGCGAATGTATGCGGATTTGCGGGATTGTACATGGATTTTGTTTAAATAATTTTAAAGTAACCAAAATTTAAAATACTACTAAAATAAATAAATAAATAAAAATACTATTAAAAGTTTGTTTAAATTACCACATGTTGAATAAATTATAATTTTATCAATAAATACTAATATGCGGGCTGATCCGCCAACCCGTGGATGAAAACCGATTAAACCTATGACCTACTGCGAATTAATCCATGTGGCCCGTTTATTTGCGGGTTTAATATATTTTCTCAAATCTGCCCCATAGTGAGATGATGTGGGCTCGACCCGCGGTTTTTGACCTATTTTGACTGCTTTAATTCCCATGAATCATCTAATTTTAGAATTTTAAAACACAAAATTCTATTTTGTAAATCATAATTAATACGATGGGTATATTTATAAACAATTTTACATTTTCTCTACAATTCGTTATTATGAATATTTATAAGTATACTACACGATTCGTTCTACTAAAAAACACACACAATATTAAACGCAACATATGTAAACCAATATTCTCCCGCGGTGGACCGCGGGTCCGATCCTAGTATCAAAAACAAAAAAGAAGCTTCTTACATATTCAAGAATTTCAAATAAAACAATATAAAACTTTACTTAAAATCATCGCATATTTCTAATTAGAAAATAATATTGATATAAATAATGTAAATTTGTAATTTAAATCATGACACATGTCGCTATCTAAAATCATTAGAACTATGATATATTATAAATCTTATGTAATTTAAACTGAACGTAGAAACCAAAATAAATAATTTAAAGATGTGACAGTTAAACTAAAAATAAAAAATTATAAACACGATGATATATGAATCTTTGATAATTTAAATATGAAAATAGAAATTGAAATAAATAATCTAACTATACTACAATCATAATTGAGGACAAACAAAAAAAAACAGTTAAGTAAAAAAATATTACAAAAAGGAAAAAAAAAAATTGATCTCACATATTTCTAATTGAATAATAAATTCAAATAAATAACATGAGGATTAGTTTAACTAAATCATCACATATTTCTAATTAAAAAAGAAATTGAGATAAATAATATCAAATTTTAAATTAATATATAATAACATATGTTTTCTTTTTAATAAAATTGCCTGATTTGTTTCTTGTTTAATTGAAACATAAAAAACGTATAATTTCCTTATTATTATCTTTTGACATTTTTTAAATTTGTTTATAGAAATATGAATTATTTACAATTATTCTTAAATTATCTTTTACATTTTTAAAATTATTTAAAATTTGTAATTACTTTCAATTATCTTCTTTTTTTTTTATTTTAAAAAAGAAATTTTTGTTTTACACGTGTCAAAATCTAAAATCAATAGATTTGCCATGTGTCACGATTATATGAATTATTAACTTAAAAAACCATACTTTATATAATAAGATTTCGTTAAGTGTAACCAAGAGAGAAAACAAAGGACAAATCGGTCAATACACTAATTTAACATAAACGGTACCACCAAACGAAGAAGCGCCTCTATATATATTGAGTACCTTCTTCCCCAAGAAACACTATCATCTTCATATTATACATCTTCGGTTTCTTGTTTCTCTCACCATTGTCTTTAAATCATCTTCTTCTAAAAGATCTGAGTTTCATTGAAGAGAATAAGGATGATGAAGTCAAGACGTGACCAATCAATTGAAGATGCAATCGTCGCAAATTATTTGAAGATGATGATCGATAACGTAATCGTTTGGCCTCGTCACTTCCTCCGAAGTCAAGACGTGTACTGCAAGAATCCATGGACGCTTTTCGTTACTCGAGATCCTATGGTCCTACAAGCCGGAGGATACTTCTTCGTTAACCGGAGTGTGAATTCAGGTAAAACCGATGGATGTGAATACGGTTGTTGGAGAATCATTGGTCGTGATAAAGTGATCAAGTCGGTGACGACCGGGAAGATTCTAGGGTTAAAGAAGGTTTATAAGTTCTGTAAAACTGAGGAACCGAGATCGTTTATTAAGTTCGTGGAAATGGAGAAGAGAAGAGCAAGAGATAAAAGAATCTGGGCGATGGAGGAGTATAGGTTTGCAAGTGCGTGGAAACAAGATTACGTGATCTGCAAGATTAGACTTCTTGATCCACAGCCATTTGAGTACATGTTGTCTCACCATATTCGAGGTTACTATAAATGAATCATTTGATATGATGATCATGCATGGATTTAGAGACTCGATTTATGTTTTTGGTTTCTAGTTATTGAATCGGTTTTCTGGGAGTTCATGTATTCTCATTATTCAGTTTTCTTGATTTCTCGTTCCTCTTTGTTCAATCTTTATGTTACTATTAAGTCTAGAATTGAAAAGAAAGATTGGTGGAATCGTTTCAAAACTTTGGCTTTTTTAAGTGATTGTTTATTGCTATTTTTGGTTATGCAATTGCAGTGATTTTGTAAAGAAATGTTTAGATGTTGGGTGATTGATCGAGAAATTGTTATCGAGTTCGAATTTGGAATTGTAAGATTAGATTTCTCTATCCAAAAAGCAGAAGTTATACAGTGATACTATTGCTAATTTGCTACCAATCAAACGCGATTCTCCATTGACCTAAGAAAAAGTTATATACTAATTAAATGTGGACCCAATGCCTACGATTAAATAATTTTTGTTTTGTTTACAAAAAAAAAAGAAAGATTTGTTGTTGTTGTTGTTTTTAAATATACCGCAATAATTCAAATTTGGTTTGCTAAAAGAGTAGATATCATAAAATGATAAATAAAATAAAAATTTAATCAAAGATTTGAGAAGTAATAAGAAGCTTAGTTAGTGTGTTTAGAGTCAAATATGTCTAGATCTCGTGTTTATGTGAAGGAAGATTAGTATCGCATACTGCAGAGACGGGACAATCGTTCCTTGACACTGTTCCTTTCTCTCTCTCTTGAAGAAAACTCTAAATCACAGATCTAGATCTAGTTTAGCTGTTCTCTTTGATCTTCACTGCAGGTTCTGAATTGGCTAAGTGAAGCAGAGGTAGACCAGCTCCTTTCTCCGGCAACGGCGAGGTGTGGTATCCATCGGCGACGCAGTTGCGGCTCTCTCACGGTGGTCGAGAAGCTTCTCCGGAGACAGACCTGGTTGAGGATGCTAGGAGAGCCGCGGAGACTTTCTTCTCAGGCTCAACTACGGTGAAGGCTGCTGCGGCTTGCGGCGGAAGTCGTCGGAGGATTGGTGGGTTACGTTGCTAGTCATGGTGATTAACGGCAGATCCCTTGGGATTTGTGCTGGCTCTCGCGGGTAGCGGCTTTTGAGGGATTTCTGAGCCATCGTCCTTCACAAGCTTCCGTGGTGTTGCTTTCACCGGACCGGATCTGAATCGGCTTGGTCTCGAAGAAGGGTAAGGGTTACGGCTTTGGAGTTTGAGGGTTAGATTTGTGTTTATTGATTTGCTAGGTAGGGGAGTCGATATTAGGGTTCTGAGATGTCGGAGATTTGGGCCATTCTGGGAGGTCTGTGGTGGGTCATGCTTCTCGCCGGAAACGACACAGCGACAGGAACCTAATACTCCGGTCAACGGGTTCGGTTCCGACGACAAGACGCAAAGCTGTGGTCCTTGTATTAGCCGGAATTAGTGGTCTTGTCTCTGCTCTCAGCTGCCGCCCAAATCAGATCTCAGTCACCGAAACTTTCACCAGAATTTTTCTTCATTTTGTATATGTGTAGCTGGGCCAATTTCAGGCCTTTTGGTCTATTTTAGGGGCAGACCCATTAATAAAATAAATTAAAAAAAAAAAAAAGATTAGTATCGCATGCTTATAGCTCACACATAGATAAAATATTTTTTTCCGTGCAGAGCACGAATTCAATACTAGTTTAAAACATAAGCAAAAATACATTCTCTTGATTGTTAACCAACACAATTAAAATTGTACAATGTCTTAACTCCCGATAATAGTTGAGAATATTAGATGCTTCTATTTACAAAACGCAAAACGACAATTAAAAAACCATCAAAATATGAATTCTCAAAGACTATACACCATAAAATAAGTATCATCTCAATCAATGGGAGGGTCTTGGTAAAATTAAAATCTTTGACTATAAAAAAACTTCTAAAAATTATACTTTTTTCTTTACTAAATTTTTTAAAAATGGCTTTGAACCCACGACAAATGCCTATGTTATCGTAAGGTAGAGACGGGCCTCAAATAGTAATGAAAGATTCAAATAAAAAATGGTTCCGATAAAGTCTACAAAAATAGTAACTTGAATATCGACGTTAAATTCCTACTACAAAAAGTCTTAAAATGGATGCATTTTTTTTCTGAGTATTGAAATGAATAAAAAATGGTTTATGTATTTTTTATGCATTAAAATAATTCATGTATCTTTATGAATATTGAAAACTAGTTGGTGTTATTTTATAGAATTTCCCTAATTTATTAATTATTATATTCTATAACCAAAAAAGAGCAATTTTGTGACTAAAATTTTGTAAAAATAATAGAGAAATTACACTATATGACCATAAAAATTTTAATAATTCAGTAACTAACCTAAAAAAAAATTGACTACAATATTATGTATAACATGTAATATATACTAATTTACTCTTTGTTCACATGTCACATCTTTTCAATGTATTTTTGTTTTTTTTCTTTCTTTCTCTCTTGATCATCAATTTTTTTTTCTTTTGTCATATCAAGTGTAACCATTATCTATCATTAGTACATCATTATCATCACCACCACCACCATCACATCATCAACACCACCACCGCTGTAACTGCTACGACCAACACAACCACCATCATCATGCCCTCACCATCACCATTACAACTACTACCACCATCCCATGTCATCACCACCATGGTTATCGCAACCATCACCACTATCACACATTCACCATCACCATATTACCACCCATAGTCAATACCGCGCCGTCGCAACCGTGCCATCACCACCATCACAACGCCATTAAAGCCAACGTCGTAACCACCACTATCATCACGTCGCCACCACTAAAACCTCCACGCCTATACTATTTATTGTTGATACTATCATCGCAGCTACGTTTTACTCTATTTTAGTTTGTTCTATACTATTTTATTTAAGTTTTATGTAAAGAAATTTTTTTTTTTAAAAAAAAAAATTTCATAAGTTTATGTCTGTTTTTTAAAATTTTAAATCATGATACATTAAAAAAGCTTTTATTTTATTTTCAAAGAATTAGAAATTTGAATTAAATATTTAGAGCATAAAATATGAAATAGAAGAGTTGACATAAAAAAAAAAATTAAATAGAAGATCTAAGGGGTAAAATAAAAAAATAAAAAACAGATAAATTCTCACCTATACCATAATAAAGGCGAATATAGACATTTTACCTTTTATTATATTACTTGCTTTTTTTCTAACAATATAGTGCTATATACTTAAATAACTTATCAAAATAGGTTATTCATCTAATTCACCCAAAATAATAAGGAATTATTGAGTGAGTTAAAAGGGAAATGGAGATGACAAAATTGGATGGAATTAAATCTCTCTAGCCCCTTTTCCTCCAAACATTCTTTCAAAAACCCTCACTTATTCTCACTACCCCTCTCCTTCCCAATACATTTAAAAACCAACTATACCCTTGCCTTTTATCCAATTTATTTCTACATTAAATTTTATTACCAACAAATTCTTAAAAGCAACCAATCATATTCATTCTCTCTCCTCTCTCATTAACTACCAAAAACCTTAAAAAATTAGATTATTCTTCTTCTTCTTACGACATATTTCCTCTCCTCTCTTCTTCTTCTTCTTCTTTTTTTTTCTTCTCCATCTCCAAAGACATATCTCATCTCTTCTTCTTCTTCTCCATCAAAAAACTTTTAAAAAAATCAAATTCTTCTTCTTCTTACGATTCAAGCATCTTCAATGACATATTTCCTCTCTATTTCTTTTTCTCCATCCACCATTAAAGCTCGTTGTTTACTTCTTCTTCTCTATCCACTAGTAAGTATACTTATTTTTTTAGTGAATTATGATTGAGAAAAGTTGAATTCGTAGCTTGAATGCAGTTTTTGGTAGAAAAAATTGGGAATTGTAGATTTAGAACAACTGAAACCATTAGGTACAACTAAGTATAATATTACCGAAACCCTAAATTTGGTGCAATTGGGACAAATGAGTACAACTATGTTGATGGACTGCTACGAAAAATATAAAATTATAGACCATTTTCTTTCTCTCTTTCTTTTTCAGGGACAATAAAAAAGAATTCAGTCATGCGCTTTAATTTGCTTGTGCTTATGCTTTGGAGAACATAGAAGAAAATGAGGTAAGAAGAGGTCGAAGAGGCCGAGTAGTTTAGGCGAGTGGTTTACCAATGATGGTAACAATGATGGTGACGTTGATGGGACGATGAGGGTGACCAAGGTTGATTTCTAAGTGCCATTATTAGGATGATTTAAGAAGCGATGTTGTTTGTATTGGTTTTGTTTGTGAAACTTACTTGTTCTGTTTCGTACAACTAAGTTTTAACAGATACAACTCTGGTTGATTTTTTAATCGTATCTATACAAATTAAATTGTTTTGTCTTGGTACAACTAAGTACAACCTGTACAACTAAGGTCTATTGCCTTGGCTAGTTTTCAGAGTTTTATATAATATGAAAATTTAAAACCAAATAAAAAAATCTTAAAAAATGCATACTCGGTGGTAATGAAACTACACAAGAAGTTTTTGACAAAAAAATTCATATTTTCCTAAATTAGTGAAATTCTTATCACAAAATCTCACATTCATACACTAACAACCTTATACTTCCATTGTTACTTTGTAGATTTGAACTAAAAAATTTTAAATTTTTGAAATACTTGTATTTTGATAAATATAACTACACTCATACAAAGAAATGGTATTTTTGATGAGACAATACCATCGGTTCCACCCACAAAAATTAATTTAGAGTTGATAACAACTAGATTTACTAAATTCTCGATATTGTACAACTATGAGCAAAAATGTGCAACCGAGTACAACTGTACAACTATGAACAAATTTTAGATATTTATGTTAGATATTTCTCAGATATTTTTAGATATTTGTAGATATTTCTTTTATTTTTTATTTTAATCAAAATACTTAGATTCACAAAAAAAAAAAAAAAGTAAAATACTTTTTTTTTTAACACTATATATTTTTTAACATACTTAGTAGATTCATAGTGTTGTTGTGAATTTTTTGATCAAAACACTTTGACTCATAGTTTTTTGGTGATTTTTCTGTCAAAAAAACTTAGATTCATACAAACCCAGATACATAGTTGTACATAAGTGTACCAGTTGTACCTAAACACTTAGATTCATGAATAACATTAGAAACCAAAACACATTTGAACACACCAAGTCTTCTTCTGCTTCTTCTTCTCCTTATCCTTCTCTTTCTCCTTCTCCTTCTCAGTCTCAGTCTCAGTCTCCTTTTCTTTTTCCTCCTCTCGTAATAGAGAAACAAATGTTATAGGCTAATATATACGTACAAAAAATTTCATCTATGTCTGCAATCCACTCCTTATTAACTTACTTGAAACCAGATTTCTTCCAAAATTGACCAAGAGAAATCAATCATTTTAAGAAGAGTTTACAAACAAAGTTACAACTTTCACTCAATATCTCCAAATAAAAACAAGAAAAAGTAGCTACATGTCGTCCGAATTTCAAACCCGAATTGTAATTCAAATCCTATTAGTAATCTTAAAATCCGAACTGTAATCATAAAAAATCCTAATTGTAATCGAAATTCCATTCAAAATGCATTTGTTTCAAACAAAATCAAAGAGAATTACATATCAAACCCTCACAGAGAAGAATAAATTGGAAGAAATCAAATCCTAATTAAACCCAACACAATAAAACAAAATTAGGGATCAAACAAATGAAATCTTACAAAGAGAAGACACGGCGGAGTTCTCACGGCGGATTTCTCACGGCGGATTTCTCGATTTCACTGCGAATTTCTCACGAAGAAGAAGAGAGAGGACGGATCTTTGGATCGATAGAAACGAGTGAAGAGGGAAGATGAAAAAGATGAATGAGTATCGATGGAATCGAGAAAAGAGAGAAAAAAAAAGAAGAAAGAAAAAGAAGAAAAGAGATTGAAAGCTTTGTGTTTGTCGGATTGTTGACTCGAGACAGAGAGAAACGAAGAAGATGAAAAAGTCGTAGCGAGGAGAAATAAAAAAGGTGATTTGGAAATTAGTGTTTGGATTGACTTTGGGGATAAAAAATCCGAAAGTCATATGGATCTAGATCCAACTGACTGGTTGGATCGTAAATAAGTGAAAATTCCTTGTTTTATTTGTCTTTTACTATTTTTCTAAATTAAAATAAACTATTAACTATATTAATTTTATTACGGGGCTAAATGGAATGGATTTTGAGTATAGGGGGCCGACTAGATTAAACTCCAAATTGGATTTTGCGATTCGGATGTCGACGACAATGAGGCGTCTTGGAATCATCACTCTCACCAATTCCGCCGCCGTCGTCACTCCGACACTACTTTCTTCAACGGCTGCTTTCCCCGGAACCCTAACTCTACCCTCTCCCCTCCGCAACCACCGTCTTACCAATTCCATTCGCTTCCACGAATACAGAAGCCTCTCATTCTCTTGCTTCTCTTCTTCTTCTTCTTCTTCAGCAGCTTATCTTCCTTCACTAGAAGAGTACCCATCAACTAAAGGTGACTTCTTTTGTTTAACCACTGTTTCAATTTCGGATTTTGAGTTAAATTTTGCTGAGGAATGTAGTAATTATCTATCTTTAAGGTTCTGTGGCGAGAGATGATAACCAGAAGGTGATCTTGAAGGGTATGACTTATGCTGCTCTCCAAGTATGATCCTTTTCAAATTCTCAATCTTTTCTTCATTTGGGTTTGATTTTGATTCTGGTAGGACAAATGTTCATGATCTTTGAGTGGAATTTGGGCCTATTTTAAACTTGTAGGAATGGGTTCAGTCTCATGGGTTTAGACCAGGACAGGCTTTGATGTTGTGGAAGAGATTGTACAAGGACAATATATGGGCAAATAATGTTGATGAACTTGAAGGTTTGTCTTTTAATATGTTTTTGCTCAGAAGGTTTTGTGATATAGCAATGAGGATTGGTATTCATTAATGTGTTCATTCTTATAGGGTTGAATAAAGATCTCAAGAGAATGATTAGTGAACATGCTGAGTTTGGGGCGTTATCGTTTAAGGATATTCGTTCGGCATCAGATGGAACTAGGAAGGTGAATAGATCGTTTCTTTTCTTTTCGTATAAATAGTTGAAATGTGTTCCGAATTTCATATTTTGCGATGGTTGGATGATGTGAATGAGTTACTCACTGGGCAGCGGTTATATTTTCCATGAGTTTTGGGGAATCTTCTCATTGATTCATAACTCGCAGGATGTTGCAGATTCTGTTCACGTTGGATGATGGACTTGTGATCGAGACTGTTGTTATACCTTGTGATCGAGGCAGGACAACAGTTTGTGTTTCGAGCCAAGTGGGATGTGCCATGAATTGTCAATTCTGCTACACTGGCAGGTAAGCAGAAGATTTCAGATATTCTCTTGAGCCACTTTCTCAGCTTGATTTGTGGTTTAATGTATGTTTGTACTGCTTTCACAGGATGGGCTTGAAGAGAAATCTCACTACTGCTGAGATAGTTGAGCAGGCTGTTTACGCCAGACGATTGCTTTCCCATGAAGTTGGGTCAATAACAAATGTTGTATTTATGGTATGCATGTTCACTAGACAAACCACATTTTTCTCGGCATTTAACCAATTTGGGTCACGTTTAAGGTCTACCAGTTTCTTCGGTTTCTCATAGAGCTGGAAGTGTTTTGTAGGGAATGGGTGAGCCATTTCACAACATTGACAATGTCATCAAAGCTGCAAACATAATGGTAGACGAGAATGGACTTCACTTCAGTCCCCGCAAGGTCACAGTCTCGACCAGCGGCCTTGTTCCTCAGCTGAAGCGTTTTCTCCGTGAATCGAATTGCGCTTTGGCAGTCAGTCTGAATGCAACAACTGATGAGGTTTGTTTTCAGGCTATCTCTTCAAAATAGTCACCATTGTTTTCAGCTGACCTTGAACCGCGCAGGTCAGAAACTGGATCATGCCCATAAACAGGAAATACAAGTTATCTTTGCTCCTTGAGACGCTCAGAGAAGGACTCAGTTCAAAGCATAAGTACAAAGTGTTGTTTGAATATGTGATGCTCGCAGGAGTGAATGACAGGTAAGTGAAATCATTAGTGGAGACCGCTCTTAAGCTCTTTGTTCCGCAATTTCAAATCTCCTCCGCTAAAATGGTTAAATTCTGAAACCATCATGAACTAGAAACTCTTTAATTGTGCAGCATGGATGATGCAAGGAGGCTAGTGGAGCTTGTGCAGGGGATTCCATGCAAGATCAACCTTATTCAATTCAACCCACACAGTGGTTCTCAGTTCATACAGACCGAGGAAGACAAGATGATCAAGTTTCGTAATGTTTTGGCTGAAGGAGGCTGCACAGTTCTCATGCGGTTTAGTCGAGGCAACGATCAAATGGCAGCATGTGGGCAGCTTGGTATGATTGGGGCGGTTCAGGCACCAGTGATGCGGGTGCCCGAGCAGTTCCGCGCGGCTTTAAAAGCATCAGTTTGATCTGTCAAATGTCAGATTAGGGAAAAGAAATCAAAATCTCCACCTTGTTGTAACGTAACTCTGATTAGATGCGATTTTTAATGCTTCTTCTGAGGTTCTTTAACAATGAAATTTTGTGAAAAGTAAAATCTACAATTATAAAATTCAAAGCTTTTTTTTTTGTTGGCAGTTTCTACCAAAGGTGTTATTATAAATTAGATGTATGGATTACAACATCAACCTATGGAGTATGTACCCATTTTTTAATTTAACTTTTGGCCCAAATATTACTTCTGCCTTTAAAGTCTATACAAGAACAAAAACTTGAACTCTGTTAGAGCGGTGAGCAATGTCTTGATTTGGATGCTGCATAATCTGTACTGGTTTAGTCTGTCTGGTCATTGACACGGAATAGCTCGATGAGTGTGTTTCGGATTTTGATTCTCAGAGCAGAGGCTTCATCGGGTCTAAACCACTTCTTGTCGAACTGGATATATTGAGAACACAAGTTTAGACGAGTAAGAAGAAGATATGTGATTCGGTATCAGGAAAAGAGTTTGAGATTACTCACCATTCTCAGATCTTTCCTTTTCAACCTTTGAGGTGCCTCTTCGATGAACCGTTTAATGAAGAAGAGCACAAACGGACCACAATCAAAATCGTTTTTCTGCTGCGGAACCTGGTTGCACAAAGAGAATAACATCATAAGACGAATTGATCTTCCTGTGTGGTTCTAGTGTCTGAATGTAATCATATTTCAGAAGAAACCGTATAAACAAAGTTCCTTGAATCATGGGATTAAGAAGGTAAAAGACTGACCTGTATATCAGCTTCGCTGATCCTACGAGGGAGGTTTTTCCATACTTTTTCTGAGATAGGTAGATCCAAGGAATAATCATCTTGATTCAGATAATTCCATTCGTCTTTCAGAAACCTGCAATAAGTTGCATAGAATCTAGTGAATGTGGTATCTGTATTTTATGAATTGACACCATATGCACACAACGCCAAGCATGTGAAAAGATAAAGTCACATGTAAAGCTCCTGGCATCTCACCATCTCACCTTTTTACGTTTTCAACAATTGATTTTCTCGAGTGAAGTTCTAAAGAATCAAGGTGAAGTATAGTCAACCCCGATTCATCTTTCTTATCAGGGATGCAAACTATCACAAGGCTCCAATGAAGACTGAAACATGGTACAAGAATCTGAACAAATAAGTTCTTGAAAAATCTTGTAAGAAAAAAATCTAAAAGTACAGGTGCTAAAAGGAAAAGTACTCACTCTTCATGTATTGGTATGAAAATATAAGCTTTACGAAATAGATCAATACCCTTCCACCACCGCCTGAACTTCACAAAAAAGGCATCCTTGTCATTCCCCTATTTCATTGAAAGGACAAGACAAATAGACCAGTCGACATAAATACCAATGAGAAAAACACGAATTGTAAGAATGCCAGCAGATAATTATTTTACAAGGATCACATTTTTCTAATCACCTTGTACGTAACAGCGTCACTGAGCTTCTTGTAGAAATATGTATTGAAGAAATGACAATCAGCAGAGATTTGATTCGATGATGATATCTGCTGCTGCAAGAACCTAACCAAAGAAAAGAGGACAATAATCATATAAAAAAACATGCAAATAGTGCTAGCATAATAAAAGATAACATATATGGCAAGTCTATCACTCCAAAACTACCTGATGTAGAAATTCATAACCGGTGATGTTAGAAATTCTCGAGGCGCAAGGCATTCAAGATCTTTAAGACAAACTTGAACCAAGTGAGGATCATCCCTGGATCACCAAGCATTAATATTTTAAGGGTTAAAAACTTACAGTAAGTCTAGATCAGTCTTGAGATAGATTTACCTTGATGGGTAGCATATGTCTTCCAGTAAGCTGCATGTTCCATCAACTATTAGTTTATATACAGCCAGTTGTGATAAAACGAGGCTAAAAAGAAAATAGGTATTTTTTACCCTTCAGGCAGTTCAACCGCTTGCTCCGCCACTGTTGAAGGCTGAGGTTCTTCTTCATCCACATTTATCACTATATCCTCTGATTTCTGTAGTTTTTTGAAGGGAATATCATCAAATAAGTTAAAAGAACAACATAGCAAATGAGTTGGAGAAAGGACACTATTAAAGAAGCCAAATAAATGACATATCCAAATAGGAAGCTTTTCCTGGCAAGTATAAATCCTTTTAAATAGCACAGGTCTTTAGTTTATCTAGAGAGGAATTAACTGTTCAAAAATTGAAGTCTTTCGTAAGGAATTTATAAAATTTTCTGTTCGAAAATAATAGAAAATGAGTCATGCTTCTGCTGGTGTAAATTTCTTGAGGTCTATAATAATTGCGTAAATGATGCAACTGTTAGATATATGGTAACAAGAGTAAGCAAGAATACCTTACGGCGCTTTGAACTTTCTGATGGAGATTCTTGCCACGACCACTCCCTATGAGAGAAAGAAGATGAGCGATTACAACACAACTCAATCTCTTATGTATCAGAACGGCATGTCACAACAAAATTGCATTAACCAGCAGTGGTAAACTTGAGACCCTCAGAAAAAACAACAAACCAGTAGCAGAAACAGCTGGAAAAGGAAAAAGGAAACGAACCTAGGAGTTTCATGACCAATGGGGTCGTTGTCATCATCATCATCATCATCAAGCAGAGAATAAATCGAAGATTCCTTGCGCTTTTTCTTTCCATAAGATTCCTTGGATTTCTGATTCCCATTTGACCCTTTAAATCCAGAATCAAGCTGCTTTTCACTGTGCTCAGCGTTCCCTATATCTGACAACAACCGCCACCCGCTGCTCAGCCTTGTTACGGGCTTTCTATCAGCCTTGTGTTTCTTACTTTCACATCCCAAATCTTCTAGTTCTTTACCAAATGCTTTCTTTGACTGAGTATCTGTCTGTTGAATACAGATTACAAATTTGTATCATGATGAAGTACCCATCTAAAACAGTTTAAATGTTAAAAGGTAGAAGTTCCATACTTTTGGTTTACTGAAAAAGGCAGAAAACGTTGACCGCGAGACTTCTTTTGAGTCTGTATTCCCTTGTTTAGAGATGTCTTTCGAGGCTGCATTCCCTTGCTTAGAGGTGTCTTTTGAGTCTGTCTTCCCTTGCCTAGAAGGGTCTTTTGAGGCTGCTTTCCCTTGTATTAAGACATCTGAACCTACATGAAGCGTGACTCATTAAACTTAAGTCCAAAAATTGGGACACTGAGCTAAGCTATTGAGAAAGCATATTGCATATCATAGTTACATTATCCAAAATGTTAGAAACAAACAACTTTAACATTATCCACCAAGAATACCTGAGCTTGTCGAAGACACGACCTTCGAACTTCTGTCCACCTCCTGCCAAAAAGGAAAGAGACTTTGTAGCATCATATTCATATTCAACTAACATCAATCCCATTCCTTTATCAGATAACAATCTCTATCACAAAAACCCCTTGATATACATAAATTTCACATGTTCAATGCCTAGTAGTTACCATGACTAAGGATCATACACATAAATGAGCTCGAATCTAGCTTGGAAGATACACGGAAATGTACTCAACAAAATCGAAACTTTAGCATAAACTTGAAAACCCCACCAAACACTGAAACATATCTAAGATTGGAAAAAAAAATCAAACAAAATAATCATGCAATTGAATGAGAATGCGAACCATTTTCGAGCGGTCTAAAACCCTACGCTGCTTCTCTTCTTCAAGGTAGACGATTCTGAGTCGGATTCTCTCACCCTTGTCGGGTAAACCCGGACCTAATGTCACAAGATTCGTTTTGCTACGCTCCAGCTGCTCGTCAAGGGCACGATCGGTTAGAGATATCTGAGAATCCGTCTGATCGTCGGAGAGAAACGTTGGCGTTTGCGGCGGCGGAGGTTTGGTGGTATTAACAATCTCCAGCTCGGGAACTTCGTCTTCCTTATCCATGGCTGAAGACCAATCAATCACAAAATCTTTCTTCTCGGAACAATCGACATCTACTACTTCCTTCTTCCTCTTCGTCATTTCCCGAGGCTAAAGGTTTCTTCTTCTTCTCTCAATCGCCCATTTGTCGTCTTTGTTCAGAATCTTCACTATCACCTCACTTATTTAAGGGACTCTTCTTCACAAACAAACAAAAAAAGAGATTTTTTTCTTTTTTTTGTTATTCGTAAATTTTGGTAATTTTGTAATTTCAGTAATTATTTGCTTTTGAAAATGTATGACTCTTCTTCACATACCAAAGAAAAAGAAGATTTTTTCCTTTTTTTTTTGTTATTTCGTAAATGTTGGTAATTTTGCAATTTGAGCAATTATTTGCTTGTGAAAATGTATGACTCTTCTTCTTCACATACCAAAAAAAAAAAGATTTTTTCTTTTTTTTGTTATTTTGTAAATGTTGGTAATTTTGCAATTTGAGAAATTATTTGCTTGTGAAAATGTATGGGTAGGTGTATTGTCGTGAATTTACTTTCGCTCAAAACATTAATTTTGGGGTTTCAAAACCCTAGTTTAGATTTGCTTGTGGAAAATATAAAATCATCATCGAAAATAATTTTTTTAACGACATAACAAACGACAAAAGAAAAAACTTAATTTTATCGTGTTGGATCGGTTTGAGTTTTGGATTTTTCCTAGTTAGATTTACTTGTGGAAAATACAAGATCATTTTTATATAAAAAAATATTTTCTAACGACATAACATACGACAAGAGAAAAACTTATTTTTATCGGGTTGGAACAGTTTGAGTTTTCTAATTTTGGGAAAATTTGTGTGTACTGTAATGAAACATTTATTTTTGCTCACAACGTTAATTTAGGGTTTCAAAACCCTAGTCTAGATTTGTTTGTGGAAAATATTAAATCATCATCGAAAATAGTATTTTTAACGACATAACACATGAAAAAAAGAGAAAAAAACTTAATTTAATCGGGTTGGATCGGTTTAAGTTTTGGATTTTCCCTATTTTAGATTTTTTTGTAAAAAATATAAAATCATTTTTTAAAAAAAAGTATTTTCATACGACATAATACACAACAAGAAAAAATCTTATTTTTATGAGGTTGGATTAGTTTGAGTTTTGGATTTTTCCAATTTATTTGAAAATGAATGTGTATCATAATGAAACATTTACTCTGCTCAACACATTAATAGGGTTTCAAAACCCTTGTTTAGATTTGCTTGTCAAACATATAAGATCATCATTGTTAAAAATAGTATTTTCTAACGACGTAATACACGACAAAAAAAACCCTAATTTTGTACGGTTTTTATCATTTTGAGTTTTAAAATTTTTTCAATTTTGTAAGAAAATAGTCCTAAACAGAAACATTTTTTTCGGTTCGGATTTTAAACAAAACTGTATGAATAAAAGCATAATTATTAATACTATATAATTTTGTTACATTTAAATCTATTAATTTGATTTAATTAATCTTTTTAATAAATTTCAGTTAATTTAGTCTGGGTTAGAAAAATTCAAATCGATTCAACTAATTCAATAAATATATATTTCGTTTAGATTCTTAATATTTGGTTTATATTCAAATTGATAAATCTCGAGTTGGTTTGGTTTAATTTTTATCGACTCATAATAGTCACGCTAGTCACAAATTTGCATCGAGTTACAGATACTACACGCCACGTCACAGCTAGATAAGAAATACTGTTGTATCTGAATCACCGTTTATTCCATAATCCAGATGCTGAAGCTTGATCTACTTACTAACGGTTGACAGGGCTTAGAGTTTTCAAGGAGAGAAAAAATGGACTAGGCAACCATTGGACCTTTTTATTATTATTCAGTAACAGTATTATTAGATAGGTATATCTCTTTGTACGTTGGATGTGCCTTCGCTCTAAGAACTCTTTAAATAAGTGTTTGAGTTTGTTAGAAATATTCACCTCATCTATGCTCAAAAGATCAAAACTCACTCATATATGCCATTTTTAGTGTACCAATATCATTAATTCACTACAAAAAACAAGGCATGTAACGTCAATTTTTTTTTTTTGATAACTCAGGTGTCTGGTCCCACCGAAGCGGATCCGATTAGCGTCGTGTCCAAGCGGAGCTGACGTGGTCCTAGAAACCTGCAGCCGCCATGTGAATTTCGCAGTGGCCGAATCCATGTGGCGGTACCCCCAGCTGGAGGCCTTTTATCACTAAGAGACAACTCATGATTGTAACGTCAATTTTTATATTGGTTAACGTTGTTTATAAACTGACTCTAATAATATAGCGTCAGTTTAGTAACCGTTATATTATGGAGCGACGTAAACTTTTTTTGCGTCATTTAGAAAACTGACATTTTAATTAACGTCACAAATATAACGTCACTTTTTGTTTTGTTTAAAACGTCACTTGCAAAACTGACGTAATCTATCCAATTAGCAATTGACAATTGTACAATTATATTACTTTTTATTAAATAAAATAAAACTGTGAAAAAGAAAAATACAAAACAAAAGGACACAAAATAATTCAAATATTATTTAATAAGAGATAAAACATAACTGTCATAAGAAAATACATCTTCTTTAGTGATTACAAAAGTTAGTAGAAATCTATCTATATATACATTTTTGGATGACTTTTAGCAAATAAATCCTGGAGTTGGAATGTATTTACGGATGAATGCCATTGGCATTAATTATTTAAATTTGAAAAATATTAATTAAAGATATTACCAACACGATTTTGAGAATCATAAATTCATATCTTCCTTAATTTTCTGAGTCATTAATGTGATAATCTTTAGGAAATATTTCTCTGTAAAAAAAAAATCCACATTAATGAAGGCATTAAAATCGACACTAACAATTAAATTATTTAGATATTCAATTATTTTAAGATTCTTATATCTTATTTGATATTTTTTTTTAATATCTCATTCTTTAATTACTGCGTTTAGAATTTATTGGTTGTTACCTATTTTTTTGTGAAATTTATTGGTTGTTACTTAAGAAGTAATTATGGTGCGTTTATTTTAGTTAATATCTAATTTAAAGAATTTGTTTTCTTTTATTATTAATAAACGAATAACATGTATAGAAATAAAAGATTTTTCTTGCGACTCCATAATAAAAATATTAAACTCTTATTTTCTACATTTCTTACACATAATATCCTCTTATTCAATAACAAAAAATATATATTGCATATTTTTAAAAATATTTATAATATTTAAATTATATAAAAAGTTTGTAATATTAATATTATTTCAACTCTATACAAATTTAATATATATGTATATATATCTCATGGGAACCATTTAAAAGAAATTTTTAAATTGACTTGAATTATATAGCTTTTAAATAAAAGTATTATTAAAAAGAAAAATAACTAAATGATGTTTAATTTCACAGGACGGGTAATATGATGGGACGGGTTTGGGTTGATATTTATAAAAGATAGTATACCACGGGTGAAATCCTAAAATTAACAATCAAAATAATCTATCAAACAAATTACATTTTGATTTTTTTAAGAAAATATAGCCCCGCGGTGTACCGCGGGTTAAAATCTAGTACTATATAAAAGTCGAAGCCATAAGCCTCTCAGGCCGTCCACCTAGGATTTTAAACCACCAATCATAATTAGACATATCATTAATTAGCATTTTTAGATTTTTGAAATTGTCGATATTAAAATTTAAGTAAAAAGGAAAATAAAAACAATGATGTGGTTAAAAAAGAATTTTAACTTTTTCAAAAATGAAGACAATTTTCTATATTAAAAGTTTTGTAAAAAAGGAAAAAAGCAACATATGGAATAATTAACATTTTTAATTCAGATTAAATAACATCTATAAATTATAAATATTTTCTATAACATTTTTAATCGCTAATTAACATTTTTACCCATCACCTCAATTGACATTTTCAAATTCTCATATTTTCTATATTGAAATACTTGTGAAAAGGAAAGCGATAATATAGGAATCTTAAATTTAAGAGAAGTTTTTGTTACAATAAATATTTGTAAAAAGAAAGAAACGCATAAAATGTTAAAATAGTTTAGTAGATTTAAATCACTTAATGTATGTGTATATATTAATTTGATGGCATGAGAATCAACAAAGTAGCGTAAAATGTAAAACTTCCAATGTTATTTAGTGAAAAATGTAAAATATACACATCTTCCTGATTTATTTTCCAAAAATATTAATTTTGTGATGAGAATATATGTATATAAGCATAATCTCTACCGGAGAAGAATAAGAAAAAGACACAAAACAAAGTTAAAAAAAGAAGAAATATTGGTGTGGTGAAGTCAAAGAGCAATATGCATATTATTTACCCTTTAACCTTCGTGATTGTTCTTCTGAACTCCATATGTAATGTCTAGGTTTATGATAATAATACTTTATTGAAACAAACAAAAAATAATATTTCTTAGCTTAATAGTGATAGAATCTGTTGATTTTAACTAACATGTTACAACTATATATAACAATGATTTTTTTTTTATGATGTGAAATAAGCATGTCAATGGTTGTAGTTAAAGATCTTACATATTTGTTTTTCAAGTTAGGAGAGCTGGGGAAATCTAATTTCTTAAAGTTGTTCGAAGAAAAGAAAGAACATCTTATCACTTTGTTTTACACAAACAAAATATTTTTATTAGAAAACATATCTGATTTTTTTTATTGTGTAAGATAATGTAGTAAAAATAAAAGAAAAAAGATGTGAAAAAGCATGTCGATGGTTGTATTTAAAAATCTTATAAATTTGATTTCCAAGTTGGGAGAGGTCTGGAAAGCTATTTCTAAGTTCTTAAAACTGTTCAAACAAAAGAATGAACAATTTATCAATTTGTGCCAACTAAATGTTAGAAAACATATTGAAAATATTTTAATTGTGTAAGATAATGTAATAAGAAATAAAATAAGATGTGACAAGAACGATGATGATGTATTTATAAATTCTTACAAATTTGTTTTCTAAGTTGGTAGAGCTAGGGAAAGCTAAGTTCTTAAAGTTTTCTTAAAGTTTTTCGAACAAAAATAAACAACATTTTATCACGGTGTGCCACTTAAACAAAAGATTTTTGTTAGAAAACATAATATATTGAAAAGATTTATTGT